ACAGCCTTGTATTTGTGTACACGAGTTGAGCTGGGTTATCAAGGACTGGACATTGCATTCATTCATAAGGTTGCCATAACTTCGATGATACATCATTATTTGTTTTTCGGCGCCATGCGAAGACCTTTTTATTTAAGCATCATTTTAATTGTTAATATTATTGGATTTTATCTGGCCAGGGTGACTTATTTTATATTGTTATTTTTGTGTTTTAACTTTATGTCTACATTTTACAAACATTTTAATTTAAGGTTATAATTTAATGTTTGTATTTTAACTTAATGTATTTGTATTTTAACTTATTGTTGTAAGCCGCCCCGAGGCTTCGGCGAATGGGGCGGCATAAAAATGTCTTAATTAATTAATTAATTAATTAATAAAACGATCCTTCCATACAAAAATCCACACTGCCTTACCCTGAGTTATTCCTTAATATTATTATTTTTTGTCTTGGATTCATAATTCCTATGTTGGTTACCTTTAATTCTGCTGCATTTGAATAACAATTCATGGCACTGATATTTACTATAAGTAGCATAATAACATGACCTGCCAACCAGCCATGAAAGGGGACTTCTCCATCATCAATCCCTATATACCAGATGGAAGTCATATGGAAACTTACTCATACTTTTTAATTAGTCTGTGGCATTTAAAGTATTCATTAGTTAATGAATGAACCCAACAGGTTATTGATTCATGGAAATGCTTAACTTCACAGGCTTATTTTTGGAATATGGAGAGCCTTGTGTAATCTAGGAGCAAAGAGACTGAGATGTGAAACACGATCGTCCATCAAATCCTGCCTTGGCTGTAAACTCAGGAGCCAGTCTCATGACAGCCCTGCCTTTCAGCCCCACTGCTTGCTGAAGGGAACCTGCAGGCCAGAAAAGTGCCTGGCTGGATTCTGCTCAATTCTACTTGCCTTCCCCCAAAGCTTTTCTTGTAGTTTTTATTTTAGAGAGTGGGGTGGTTAATTTAGGGAGTATAAATGCTGATTCTGACAATTAACTCGGCTCTGTCATATTAGGGACACTGGCCATCGCCATGCTTCCAGGGCTTCTTTACAATCATGAAGTTGCTGATTTGCCCAATAAAATGCCTATGCCGTTATCAGGGCCTGTTCATCCCTATGAAGGGGCTAGGGAGATGCAACAGCTCTTCCCATGAGAACGCATGAGGTCATGCAGCATAAGGCATCTTGCCTGGGGCGGCAGCAGGAGTGGCAGGGCCCCTGGGGCAGGCCACTTCGTCACCCTACAAGGGCTGTGTGGTCCATGGGATGCAGGCTGCCTGCCCTAGCTGCACACAGGACTCTCCAATACTTGTTTCTTTGATGGCGAGAATTCGACATGAATACAAAAAGACATGGCTGAATCCATTGTCTCCATACTGAAGAGCACAGAGAGGTGTCTTGATGTAGAACCGATGTGCACAGGACTCTGTCTTTCAACTATACAGCATTACAGTGCAGCTTCACATTCATGTGAACCGAATCCCAGAATTGAGTTATTGTGCTCTTGTGAGGTCCCACCTTGGCTAGACTAGAATACTACTCAACAGAAGAGGAAATCCTCAAAATAATACTTCATGATCAGGTGCATGTAATATAGGATTTCAGTGTTTGCAAATCCTTTTTTTCAAATCAACTTGTGGCATTAATCCCCTAATGGCATTATTTGCTTAGAATATATGCCAGATTAAGGAGTCATGATGAGGCAAAGTACAAAAATCCACCCTAATCTTTGAATGAAGGATGCTGCGTGGGATGCAGCTAATGAGGTTGTCCCCAGAAAGGGTGAGTCCCTCTTCTGTCCGCCTTTCCTCCCTTCCCCTTCTGGCAAAGGATGGTCACAAAGAAGGAAGAATGTGCTTGCAGCTGGTGTGCGAACATGGAACTCTCAGACAGTGCTGTGGGCAGGGTCCACCTCCCTAGACATCTGTCACTCCACCTATCACGTCAACTGTCCGGTCTCTTTCTCTGCAAATCATAGAAGAAAGCACAATAGGTTACCATATGCATAAACTCTGGGCAATAAACTGCCTTGAATGCCCTAGAGAAAAGACATCTGTGACTAACATTCTCTTCCAGTCTAGATCATTCTTTCTGAAGCGTGCCTTGATTAACCAGCAATACCCTATTTCTGTACTTGGTTTGTAGCTCTGCCATGCAAGTGGTAAAAGATGCCATAGCTAAACCATGTCTGATCTCTGGGTGCCTGGGTCAGGGCCACAGGAACACAGGAGGCGGCTTTGTATTCATCCAGATAACTGCTCCACTTACCTTAGTAACATCTCCAGCAGCCCTCTTCAATCTGGTGACTTCCAGATGGATTGGATTACAATTCCTATCATCCCCAACCAGCATGGAGTGTGGCCACAGTTGAGATTATCCCAGAAAAATGGGCATCCCCTTGAGTTCGTTGATTGAAAGAATGGACTGCTTACTAGCAAAGTTGTGAATCCCAGTCCCCATGTGATTTCTGCGAAAAAGCACCGTGGCTCCTTATGGGTAGGCAGTCTAGCAGTAGAGAACATACTTTGTATGCAGAAGGACCCAGGCTCAATCCTCAGCTTCTCAAGGCTGGGCTCAGAAGACGTCTGCTTAAATCCCAGAGTGCCATTGCTGCCAATCAGTATCAACAGAATTGAGCTAGATTGACCAATGATCAGTGTCGGCATAAGGGCAGCTCCTTATTTTCACAAGAGTTCTCATACCTGGAGACCTCGTACAGAGAGATCCTGTGCATCTCAACTCACAAGCACTGAGTTAAACAGAACTCATGCCTACAAAACACAAGTAGGATTGCAGTCTTAGGAAGACAATAAATTTATCGTCTGTGTTTAGCAAGTCTGTTGCTGTTCACATGCTTGGTGTATTTGCAAAATGGTGTATTTAACTAACATCACTGGTTTCTCACCCAGTGAACCGTGCACTGATGCCTGCAGGAATCTTTCACAGCTTGTTTGCTGTAGTCTAAACTTTCTCCAATGTCTTGTTGTGTTGTTGTTGCTTGACTGGGTTGCCACCCTATCTCTTGGCTGCATAATCTAAAGGTTAGTCAAATTTTGCCTACATTTCAAAAAGGTAGCTGTACTTTTTGTGGAACAGCTGCCACAAGTCCCTGTAGTCTGAGGCTCACATCTACACTCATTTCACTTAATGTCCTTGTCCCTTGGACAAACCACTAACCAGTTCTGAATCTGCATAGGGATAACACTGGTCTACTTAACAGGACTGTTATAAATGCAACCACAATAGAGATAACAAAAGGCTTTCTTGTGTGCATATATAACAGAGCAGCAGGATTTTCCTTACAGACCACTCCCTTCAAAAGCCACAGAAGATGTTGACAAATTTCGTTATGTTAGCCATGATGACTAATTTAGTCCTGGATAAACTTTGCAGGAAGTAAGGATGCTGAAAATCAAAACAGATGCAAAAATATTTTCATGGAAAAATGAATGCTCTATTGTTTTGTTTTATGAACTCCTTCCTATAGAAGTATGCAAGTTAGCTGATCTCTCAGCTTTTTCCGGCTTTACCTTACAACCAGGCTAAGGGAAAGAATGGAGAAGGCAATGCACTTTTTCTACAGGTACTCTTGTAACTTGAGCCAAGGACTGAGTCAGCCCTCCCATGGCAAACCAGCTGCCTTAAAGCTGTCACATGTACAAAGCTCTGATAACACAATCTACTGAATTACTTCCTCTTTTATGATCTGAAAGAAAGAAAGAACAGAAGGAGATCTGGCTATTCAAATGAAACATCCGAGGAACTCAGGGAGCAAAATGATTTGCCTTTGTTAAGTCTCTGGATGAATTGAGAAGATTGGTTAGAACAAAAGAGTTGTTTTTGCTGAATCAAGATTTCTTTCATTGTAAAACTTGTATTCCATGCAATTCTTCAGAAGAGAGTGAATCCTTCACCATTGCACCAGATTTCATATTTTGCTTAGGAAAGCTCATTAACAGTAGAAATTGTCTGAAGAGAAGAAATGAACAAGCTAAAGCACTTGGACGTGGAACAATGCCAGAACAATCCTAACCTGAAAAACATCCAGCACCGAAACTAATCTGCTTCACAAACCATGAAAATACATGAAAATATAAAGAAAGTGCAATAATGAAGAAAATGGATGGTGAAGGTAGGTTGTTTGGTCTTTTAAAAACCTCTGGCATCGTTTACTGTGTTTACGTGTTTAGAATTTTATCAAGCCACATCCCAAGAATTCCAGAAACAATGCTGAAAACAAGCAGAAAACAACCAAATAAAATATCCAAAATTAGCATAATATGAGCTTATTCAGAGCTCTTCAATGCCAAATGTGCCCACAACCACTCTGTACAAGATGAATATGAATTGCTTCCATATTAGAAATTAATATATAGCATTATGTATGTAGGTTTGGATATACTTTTCACATAGGATTGGGTAGACACTATTTCCTACATGTAAATGAGAACCTTGTAGGAAATTTATCCCTTGTGAAGCAGTCTTTAAAGTCAAATACTTCCAGAAAATGCTATGAGGTTGCTCTTCCAGGAGCATCCAGTGGAAAAGAATAGTTCCTTATTTCAGGCTAGCGACCAAAAATGCTTCTGTACATATGCAGTCCAGCTGTATGGGCAGTAGAGGATATTTCTTACCTCTGATCTCTTCAACAAACATAAAACAGGCTGAGTCCGAGTGAAATCCTCGGTTGACAGAGGCTGGGAGGTGCCATGACACCTCCTTGTCGTCCCCTGGTGTATAGATGTATTAATTGTGTGTATATGTACACACATTTTCATAAACCTCCACACAAAAAGAAAGATTCTTCATCAAAAGAGAGAGCTAAAAAGATGGGGGTGTGGTTCTCTTTGTGGCAGAAATTGGCATTAATTCTCTTCTTTCTCCTTTGATAAAATGTTGAGGATATATATGCCACAATTTATGTGTTTTGGGATGGGGGATAAGACAGACTCAAGAGTAAAAGCTACTGAAAACTCAATTTCTGATGGTCTGTTTGGAAAGATTTAAGCCAGGAACCACAGGAGATGCTGAAGATGGCCTCTTTCAGATATCCCCCTTCAGCTTGTTTATGAGTTAGATACAGAATAAGAACACCTCTGTTCATAAGGGGAAATACCAGCATCCAGCAAGGACCAGGGTCCTTTATCAGGACTCTCACCATAAGAAATCCAACGACAAAAATGCAAATAGAAATGAAAGCCCCAAAGTGAATAATTCTAGAGTAGAAAGGATGGAACAAGCCCTCCCCATTGTAGGTAAATAGCTACATGGTTTTAACGAGTGCCCCAGAGGCAGCTCTCTCTGTATGGCTTCCTAGGGTATCGGGCTCCGAGAAATGCAATTAGGGACATCTTCTTGCCAACAAAATGCCCTCAGGCCTTCACTGGACCGTCCAAGGTAGATACCTGCACTGAGCAATATGGTTGCTTTGGTTCTTTGTACTTTTCAGTTCTGGTTGCCTGCCTTGTCCATTTAATATTGAATCTGTCAGGACCCCAGAGGTGGTTAAGTCTGAAAGTACTGTGTTGTGGACAGAAGGACTGGATGAGGCTGTAGACAATTAGCCCACCAAACCAGAGCAGGGTACCCACTTATGCTTTCCAAAAAATCAAATTAATGCATAATACAGGTGTATGCATATGCTCACCTGTATGTACTGTATAAATGCAAATGCAGAAATAATAAGTAATTTGAATGATATACATACCACCATAATGAGGAAATAGTATAACCATGCAAAGTAACTTGCATGCTTGCTAGTTTGTCCACTGTCTAGGTGGCAACAGAGAATCGGAGACTAAAAGGCTCTCTCGTCTTATGGTTGTTTGTTGTTAAATCCCACATGGATTGCACAGTCCTTCAAATGGAGTGCACCTTCGAACAGAGAGCTCTCCTCTGCCACCCCATTAGAACGAGGACAAATGACCTCCTCCAACCAGATCCAGGATCCCCAAAAGCACCATTCCATGAACCCAAGGAGCAAAATGGGGCAGGAAACCCACCAGGCAGGAGAAGAAGTATCTGTCCCAAGGCCAAGCCTCTGGCCCAACAGGAGTCTCCATTCTTTGAACAAGGAGTGGAGAAGAGCTTGGAAGAGGTGGAGTAGAGGCAGAGGTTTTTAAGGCTACCGCCCCCAGTCTTGGTTGGAGCGATTTGCTCATGAGGAGCTACTGGGGACTGACCTGCAGGATCAATTTAATGTACAAGGCCTGGCCAGGACATGATCTTCTGCACCGGGATAGTGTTGTATAGCCAGACTATACATCAACCTTCCCCAGCCTGTTGCCCTCAAGATGTGTTGGACTGCAATTCCCATCATTGGCCTTGCAGGCTGAGAATGCTGGGAGTTGCAATACAGCCCAGCTGAAAGGCATCAAGTTGGAAAAATTATTCTAGGCAGTAATCTGGCTATGTCCATCAGGCAGAGAATCTTCTACATGGTCAGACGCCCCTGGGTCGTCTTTTTCCAGAAAACGTTGGGACAAATAAAAAAATAAAAACAAACCAATGACAACAACAACATATCCAAAAATCTGCCAAGTCACTTTGTTTTGGTTTTGCAGGTAACTTGCCACCTCCTGTTTGCAAAGCTGATTCAGTGGTGTGTCATAGACGAAATAAGCAGTTCTTGGAACAACTAGGCAAACGGCACTCAAACAAGGTTTTGGATTTAAATAACTGTGCATTGAGTGCAAGGGATATAATGGACCTGAGTGAGTATTCAATTTGCTATATTAAAACATCAACATACATTTTGAGTGATAACTCCCTAGTTTCCCCTTCTCTTTGGATCTCAAATCATCTGCTTGTGCTTTGTGAGTCTGTAGTGTCAGCTCCAGGGGCACCTACCTTCCCATTCCTGCCTCTTTGCTTTATCATCTGCAGCTCTGGTACAATTGCCATCTCTTCAGTCATCAAGGCAATTTCACCTCTAGCTTTAAATCCTGCCTCTGTTAGTGTACAGATAGCACCTTCAAGGGTAACAGCAGATTATTGCAACTTCATTACCAAAACGGAGTCCTGTAAGATTAACAGATTTCCTGAGGCATAAACGACCACATGTGATAGCTCTTCCATGTCTGGGGGTTAAGCTTCTTTAGGGCAGGGTTTTTTTTAAGCATTTGAATTTCTTTATCACCCTAATTTCTTTGCAGGGTGTCTTTCTTGAACACCCAACCATCTGTATTCTCGGAATTCCTTCTGTGCTGCTACCCAGCTAAGGTACAATGAGGGGGATTCAACTGGGACCAATTTAGCCTTCTAATATCACAAATGCTGCCACAAATGTACAAGCTGGGCCAACAAGAGGTTATTAGAAGATAATAGCCTCCTGCAGCTTTTAATATCTTGCCCTCCCTCATAGAAAGCTTTAAGAAATATTAATGAAGCCCACATAAGCACTTGCCAGAGTTTGACTGTTGCTCTGCTTTTATTTTTAGTTACCATGATACCTATGTTGCCAGATCTAGAGGAGATCAACCTTTCTTGGAATGATTTCATGGAAGGGACACTAGAACCTCTCATCCTTCGGTTCAAACATTTGCAAGAGCTAAGAGTTCTCCAACTGAGCAACTGCAGACTCACAGCCAAAGATGTTGCATTTCTAGGTATCATCATCCAACAGTTGCATGACTTATTCTAACAGGTTACAACCACGGGTGATCTCATTAAGGGATGCTGGTGAATGATGCCATGCCTCCTTCACTCACTGGCTTCTTGAAAGTGATCTTCTCCGTGGCAAAGGCAGTGACTCTCCTTGGCACCCACAGGATTCACAATAGAAGAGAGGGGAGAGCAGATTCCAAGGCTTATTCTGTCCCCAGTCATGAGTCAGCATACCATGGTCACTGAACATCTTAGTCCCCAATGGGCTGTTTTTGATATCTTCCTCTCCCTCAGGCTCTTTTCCCCCTTAAAACGTTCTGTATTTCTGCAACTCTAAATCTGCAGAAACTTCTCTCTTGTTTTACTACATAAGCAGCAGCACTTGAGCATGAAACTTGGACAGAGAGGGGATGACTCTGACCCTAAACCAATTCTCTGCTGATGGGACTATGCAAATTGGAAGTCACTGTAATCTGCAACACAGTTGAGGTAGAGGAATTCAAGTATGTGACAGATATACTTATGTCTGGAAAGTGCTACATTATTGAATTTTCTTAAGCAGAAGCTGAAATGTTGGAGACTAGCATCCCCCTTCCCCTTCATCAGAATATAAAATGGCATTACTTATTTAAATTTCTTATTGCTTATAGGAGAAGCACTGGAAGAAATGCCTCACCTTGAGATACTGGATTTATCATGGAATCCTAATGTTGGTGGGAGCTTTTCCCTTCTAACTCAAAAAATCCCCAAAGGTTGTATCCTCAAAACTCTAAAACTGACAGACTGCAATTTGACTGCTGAAGATGGTGAATCACTGGGTGAGTCGAGCCCAGACTGCAAACATCTTTTGCGCGCTGATTTTGAATGTAATTATTTAAGTTAAACCATTTAGTGTCAAATTGTGATTATGAATCTGCTGCATTTTAGTATGTTAGAACTGAAAAATCTGGCATGGGAGTTGGCAGATGGGTGGCTGTGGTTATGGATTTCTGGACCACAGAATTAAGTATGGAAAATCTGTCAAGAATTTGTTGAGAATTGTTGCACATATTCTTAGTTCTAAGTTGCATAAGATTGCAGTTTTTAAGACTCCTTTAAGGTACCCATGATTGTTTGCATTTTTATAAGCAGAGTTTTTGTGCACACTTAATTTTTAAGCGCACTTTCCACAGAATAATGCATTTTTGCATAACTATACACTTTCATATATATATATATGTGTATACTTTTGTGTGCAATTTTCCAAATGCATGCACATATTTTGGGAGAATTGCACTGTAAATTTTAGAGAAGTATAGATGTTGGTGTCTAGATGTGTTCTAGTTCAGACAAATGTAATTTCACCTTGAATTGCAAATCAGAACCATCTCAAAATATTGTTATATGCCATCAAGTCATCGCCAAAATGTCCTGTCCCTCAAAGCCCTATTCAGCAAGACTGTGGCACCCTTTAATGAATCGATCCCTCTTTTCCTCTTTTCATTCCACCTTCAGCTCTCCCTAGCATGATTATCTTCTCTAGTGACTCTCACCTTCTCATGATTTGCCCAAAATACAACAGATTCAGTTTCAGTTCAACCTCAGAGAAATGTATGGTGGAAATTTTCCCATTACTGGTTTCAGTGATGCTTCAATACTTAAAAACAATGCTTAAGGTAAATTAACCTTCATAAGCATAAGAATGAAAGCCTTCTCATAGCATATGTTTGCCAAACTGGCTTTCTGGAAGCCCTGTCCTGGCAGGTCTGTAGGAAATTATCTATTTCTGGTCACAAAGGGAGGGAGGACAACCTGGCCTCAGAGCACATCCTTCTTGATGCCTACATAAAAGTCACATGATTGGGCTGGAGAGACCAAGGAAATTTGCATGTGCCATGCGCCTTTTTAAAATCTTGGGACAAAAAGTTTGCTTCTTAGTCAAACCAATAACTATTTTTAATGTTTTATATTCCAAGTGTCATTATTTCCTAATAATACATCCATTGTTATTAATTGCATTATTCTGTCATTGCAGCTACATGCATACTGACTGTTTTTGTGACCTCTGCATTCCTTGTCTTCTTTTCAGCTCAGCTTCTAAGAAAGATCCACCGCCTTGAAGTACTAGATTTGTCTTTAAACAAAATGATAGGATATAGTCTGAAAAGTATTGCACAAGAACTAAAACATGCCACAGGCCTGAAAGTACTAAATTTGAACATGTGTGGGTTAAAACAAGATGGATTCCAGTGTTTGGGTAAGTGCAGATGTTGACTTGGAGCTGAGCTATCTTAATTATACTTAGCATTTGCACACAGCTTCTAAATGTTCAAAATACTTTCAGCTCATTGTCTTCCTGCAGTCTTTACAACACCCCTGTAAAGTAGATGAATACTAATATTCCTGTATTACTAATGGGAAACGAAGGCTGAGAGGGAGTAGCTTGCTTAAGACCACTTAGAGAAAACTTCTAGTCTCCCGACATTGTCTGAGGGCTTTAGGATAGGTCAGAGTCCCGGGTCCAATCTCAGAAAAACACTCCCAATTGGACTGGGACTCCAATCTTGCAGGGCCCTCCCAGTTGGTATAGCTCCTCCATGCTGGTTGCGCCCCAAAGTCAGGAGACCATTTCAAAACCATCATGGTGGGGGACATTCTGGGGGGGTGGGGAAGAGAGACACCACCATAAGCAGAAGAATCCTGATAGTGCTCAGCCTCTCCTCCTCGTGAGGAAGGGGAAAGCATTTAGATGGCTGAAACTGGCTAAGTGCGTTCAAAGGGCCAGAGGAGCTCAGAGGCAATTCTAGCCGCTATGCTTCTCCCACTCTGCACTGGAGCTTCAGTTTTAGGCTGATATAGAAATGAAATTAATGTCAATAGGATTCACATAATGCTCTGAGTATGGAGGGTTATGAGCCGCCACACAGAATGGTGTCCTTAGTGAGTTTAAGGCAGAAGGAAGACTCAAACAGGGACTTTCGAATTGATAAGTTACATCAGGTCTGCTTAGGTTGAATGTGTAAATTTAGCAGAGCAGTCTCAAATAGCTGAGAGAGAAGACACCCACTACGGCATTCAGAATCCTTCAGTAGAGGATTAGCTACTTCATTCATTCATTCATTCATTCGATTTATATCCTGCCTTTTTCCTACAAAGGGCTCAAGGCAGCTTCCATTATCTCTCCTCCTCCATCTTATCCCAAGCAACAACCCTGTGAGGCAGGTTGGGCTGAGAGTCTGTGACTGGCCCAAAGTCACCCAGTTGGCTCCATGGCTGAGTGGGGACTATAACCTAGATTGTCTGAGTTCCAATCCCAGCTTTTAACCACTACACCACACTGGCAGTTGCCCGTTTCTTCATCAATAGTTTCTGAAAAACTCTTTCCTCTTTCTGAAATGAATGGGAAGGAAGAAATCACACCAGCTGCAGGGGTCATTAGTGAGAGGGCTCATTTGGGTGCTGCAGAAATGAGGGACCACTTAAGGACCCATAGCCTCCCCCCACACACCACTGGAATATTCCAGTTTGGTCCCACTGCCTGAAGAATATCCATATGAGGGGAACAAATCTTCCTGCATATGTACCAGAATGACTGAAGCTGCTTTCACAAGAAGCACTGGGTTGTTCCCTAAACAGTTTGCTCAGAACTGATTAGAAAAAAATAGTTTTGCATCTTGCACACGGTCTCATTTCAGTTTTACATTTGACAGAAGTTATCCACTTGCCAAATTCAATATTTTTCTTATCTTGTCCCTTAAAAAAAAACTCTTCTACATTTATTGACATTATAAGCATTCATTCTGGGAATTTTGACATTAATGAGAATTATAAAAATACAAAGTCAAATTCAATGAGGAAAAGTGTCTTTGAGAATATTTTCTTCCCAAATGAGTTTCTTTTAGCTCTAGTGATTTGACTGGATCATTGGCAGTAGAAATGCTAAAGGTGTAATTTGAAGAAAGTTTGTGATTCAATCAATCTCTTTTGAATTTTGAAATGTTTGCCCACTTTCAAAATGTGTTACGATTGTATTTCAGCAAACTTTTGCAATGGAAGAAAAGGAAGAACGAACTAAAGGGAGCTTGAATACTAGACCCCTTGTATTGTAATCTTTTTATTCTATTGTATTTATCTTCTTATAATTGTATATACCACACTGGAGTTCCTTCTGGCTGAAGGGCAGCTTATTTGTGTATAGATAAATGAATACACTGTTAGCAGCTTATTAACACCTTGTCTCTTTATGTCTATTCCACTTCAGACAATGTCTTGCAGCACTTGCTGGAATTAAAAATATTAGATCTGTCATGCAATAAATTGCTTGGAGGAGGTTTCCAGAACACAGCAGCTCATTTGGCTGGCCTGAGTAACCTTGAAGTCCTGGATTTTCATCAGTGCTGCATTACAGAAGAGGACATGGCAGTTTTAAGTAAGATATAAAAGGAACTGACTTAATGAATTGTAGAATCACTTCTTTTCATGGGGCAGTAAGTCATCTCATCTAACCAATTCACATATCGGTGAGACTGCACTGTCTATCTTTCTGCCCTTTCACAATTCAACTGCATGCCATCGCAGAGAATTACATCAGCATGAAACAACCGAGCTTACCTGCCCATCCAAGCATCACCGCAAAAACTTAAAGATATCTTTAAGCGGCTGTTTAAGATATTTAACATAGCAAAGTAACTAGAACCTAAATCATCACAGGAAACACTTCCTCCCCTAATACCTGACAAGTTAAACAGTTTCCTGATTAAAGAAAATAAAACTGCATGTTTTAAGAAGCCTGGCAATTTCATCATGCAGAGGGGAAAAGTCTGTCTAGCTTTAATAACCGTCCTGAGATGCCATGCATAAGGGACGACATACAAAAGTTTTCAATAAATAAATAAATATATTGAACCTGTTACAAGATCTGATTAACCAGAGTTGGTAGAATGCACATTAAGAACATGCAAACTGCTTGTTTTGCGTTTAGGAGGTATGCAACGTGTAGCTTAGTAATCAGTTAGTTTAATAAACTTGTTGGCTATTCCTGCTCAGGTTCAGTTCAGCATTAAAAGGAGTGATGCAAGTCCTCAGAAGGCACCAGGTACATCTCTGGAGAAGCCTTTTCTAAGGTTGTAGCTGCTGCAACATGTGCATAATTTAAAAACCACAAATGCTTTTTCTTAGGAAATATGTTTATTCATGTGCTGTTTAAACAATTAATTGGTTAGTCTACTAATGCTGACATGATCAATCAACTAAGATTTCTTTAATTAGGTGAAACCAGCAGTTTTTGCAAAATTTAATCTTGCTTTCTTATCTATGAACCATTGAAAATATTACTACGATGCTTCTGTGCTGTTTATTGTTATCTTTGTAGCCCAAATAATACCCCTTTTGTCAAATCTTCAAGAACTGAATTTATCATCAAATAAAAGTGTTGGTGTGTCATCTGATCACCTTCTTAGCAGGCTCAGATTTTTACCAAAACTGAAATCTTTGCTTCTCAGCAATTGTTCTCTGCAGCACAATTCATTTGCATCTTTAGGTAAGAATATTTCTTTACACTATTCTGGCTTTGGTTATTCATATACAAATCTGGTTGGAACATAAGAGGGGGAAGAAGGAATAAGATTTGCAAGAACGTTTCTCATCACCATGGAAGTATAATTAATATTACATCATCTCTTCTCATTGAGTCCAATATAATCAACCTTACTGGTGCTACCTGGCAGAGACTATGGAAATGGGGACTGCAGTAGGATTTCTCCATAAGAGAATACCGTATTTTGAAGAACCTATAGTGATGCCATTCTTCTGTTAAAAGGATTTTGCTGACATTTGCTGCCTCTTTTCCTGCTCTCTGATCTTGGTGAAACAGTCAGTATGGGTTTTTCCGCATCAGCTGTGAGGGGGCTCAGCATCTGGAGTCCCAGCTTTGAGATCACAGGACCTCAGAGCTGGGAATGCAAATAATCCTATGCCGCAATTCCACAGCAATGTTGTGAGGCTACAGGATTGTGTTTTTACCATGCTAAGAACCAAATTATATGTTGTGTTAAAGACATAGTAGGAACTACAAGATAACTTTTTTAAAAGTTCCATTTTCCCCAATTTGTATTAGGGGAAAAAAGCTTCCAAGTCCCTTTCATATGAGAATAGGTCGTTTTAATTCCCTTGCAGTCCTGGCTACATTGGTAATTCTGTATAGCCTAAAGTGCCTGATCTTGCCTAATCTTGGAAGTCGAGTCAGGCCTGGTTAGAATCTGGATGGGTGACTTGAGTGTTTGAGTCTGTGCTTATTGTTGTAAACCATCCAGTTTTGGTACAGGAGATACAGAAATGTGATGATGATGATGATGATGAAGCCATTATTGTTTCAGCTCATTCCTGCCTTGGTCCTATATAAACTTCCTATACATAGGTCTTGCTCCTATAGGAACTTCTTATGAAGCATTCTCCACTAAACAATAGGTGTTCTCTTATTTGGAGACCACCCATATATCCCCAGTAAGAAAACCTAGCACATCAAAGCTTCACTGCAATTAAAGAAGCTTTAGGCACATGGATAAAGCTTATCTATGATGTGAATAATCCAAGTGTACATAACATCTCTTGGATTAAGTCCATGGCAAGCACTTACACATAGGTGTACTCAAAGAAGCCATCCTGTGGAGTTTATCTGAAATTGCACCCATAACGGCTATTCCATATTGGGAGATTTTCTATGTCTCTAAGCCATTTTCTCCTCCTCCTGTGTTTATGATGAGAAAAATCTTCCAGTCTGTGTGGCGACCTGCTGCAAGCAAGCTGCATTCTGCATAGCAATAGCCAACACAAGTGTAATTTCAGGAGATTTCTCTACACAGGGCTGCTTCTGATTTTTTAAAAAATATTAACTGGAAGAAAAACATTCCACTGATGAATTAATCACACTCCTTTGGAAGCAAATGATAGTGGAGATTTTCACGGAAGTTGGAGGGAAGGGACACATAATCATGAAAGATCCAGCCAAAGTTAATCACTCCTGCATGCTGCATATTTCAAAGGAGGCAGTTTTAGCATATGCTTAAAGCTGAAACTCCAGGCATTCTCATGAGAGAGAGTCTTGTTGAGAACATAAGGGTCACTTCCAAGTAAAAACAAAACAGTTGAAAGATTTGTTTCCCAAGATATTTATCCTTAACATTGGGCCCCCTGCAATTCTTTTGATATCTAGGTGCATGTTAGAAAATTTAAATATAGCTTAGAGGTGCTCCTTCTTTACACATTTCTGATTATTAATATAATTCTCTGGCACAGGCAACAGTAGTCCTACTCCCATTAAATTCAGTTGCACTTCTGTACCAAAATTCCTGGTGGATTATGGCCACAGTATCCTGTCTCTGGTAAATCGATTATTTATTTATACATGTATTTATAGGCTGTCTATAACTGCCGAGGCCTTCCTGGGCAGCTTAAAACACACTAAAACCAACTAAAACATCTACAAAAGCAATATAAAAAGGACCACAGCATTCAGGCTAAGAGTTAAAAAATTTCTTTAAAAGGTATGTCTTTGCCTGGTGCCAAAATAAAGATGGCACCAAGCAAATTTCCCCTTGGGAGGGAGTTCCAAAGATGGGGAGCAACAGCGGAAAAGGCCCTTTGCCTAGTTGCCTAGGAGTGGTCATAGGTTTAGACTGCATTGTCATGAGCACATTTAACAGACAAATAACTTTGTACTTGGCTGAATTCAAGGGCTTTTCTTCTTCATTCCATCACGAAAATGTTCCTCTCAAAAGAGCACTAGTGGACCACCAATGCCTACAACTTGATTCTAAGCACAAATAGATACTCTTTACAAGATATTATTCAAGAGTCCAACCTTATTAGGGCTGCAAATGGAGAAGTTGCTTAGAAGTATACCTTCTAATATGGTTCCTTACAGGAGCAGCTGAACCATCGTGCATCAAAAGGGGAGGGGAAGTTTTGCTCTGAACTCAGCAAAGGATACTTGGTCAAGTATAGCCTTGTACTTTCTCCTTCATAAGTAAATGGTTGCTATTTACTCCAGAGGAAAAAGTAAAGGGCTACATACTGCAAAAGCATGAGCGAGGGCATTAAACTCGTCCTGTGTTCCTACTGACCCCTCGCCTTGCAGACTCAAGCTTCCACCTATCTGCATAGCTCTATTCTGGGTTTTCCTCCTTGCGAAAGCTAAAGCATGGGTGGATTTTGCAAGAGTGGAGCAAAATGCTGGGAAGTGACTTGATTTGTTTGACAGCTATGGGGAGCAGAGGCTCGTGCGTCTCTGGGTCAAGACTCTGTCAGTAAGCACAAGATGCTGTTAATCTTTTCAGCTGAAGCTGCCCTTCACCTTCCTGAACTGAAGATATTAGACCTTTCTTGGAATAAATGCGTTGGTGGGAAACTAAAGCTGATTTTAAACTCACTAAAGCTTGGAGCTGAGCTCGAGGTGTTAAGACTGAGCAGCTGCAGCTTGGTGGATGAGGATTTGGCAAGCCTTGGTTAGTATAAAATTGCATTTCCTTTCTCCTCAGTACTCACTGGGTTGGATCCAGGATTTTCCTGCTATGGCTGGAAGGGTTTTGTTTATGGAATATGTCATGCTAGACTTCAGGCCCTTTAGTGTGCAACAAAGGACAAAGGATGAGGGAAAGGCACAGGTATTTCCTCAAGTGCAGGACAGTCTGTGCCTTTTTGAGGATCCTCCCAGGTAGGGAACTCAGTTCTGCCATCATATTCGGGATAAGATGATGCGTCCCAGAAAAACCACCATCTCCCCAGCTGCATAGATGTCTCAGGTTATAGAATCCCATGAGGGCTTTCTAACCATCCAATCATCTCCTCCAGAAGAGAGAGTTTGGACTACAGTACAGGTCTTGTCAGCCTACATAAGATGTCCATTGGCTTTATCTACTTGCTGAGACATCTTCCTATTGCCCTAGTAGGTAAAAGCTCTAGCCAGCAGGAACCTACATGGATCCTCTTGAAGGTCCCACTCATGCTTTCCTGCCACGATCTTACTACCATCTTCCTGCGTGAACCTCAGGGTGCCTCTGCCTGATTTTGGGTGACCACAGTTCTCTCACATAGCAGACTCTCTGACTACCAGTTTCAAGGGGCTGGCAAAGCCGTTGTGGGAAGGAGAATGGATGAAACTCTGCCCAATTGCATTCTCCGAACTCTGAATCCACCCTCTTGTTTTTCAACTCACTTTGCCATTTCAAAGCATGTGCAAGATACTTTTAAACTCAGTGATACCCACTGACGTGCTGAACATTTCTTTCAGCCTCGGTCATGCAAGCCAAGCATCTGGACCTCCTGCAGAAGCTGGATCTTAGTTATAACAACCACTTCTCTAACAAAGGATGGGCAATGCTCTGTCAAGGCTTAGCTGCACTGGAGCATCTTTCTGAACTGGACATCAGTCGCCGGCCATCAGCGCGTTGCACCTGTGGGGAATGGCTTGACAAACTGTTGGTGACCTTGCCAAAGCTGCACCTGTTCAAGGAACTAGGACTGCAAGGCTGGGTTCTATCTGCAGGTCAACGAAAGCAGCTGGAATGTTTCAATCAGGCCAATGAACAAAATGTTCACTTTGATGCTTGGTTTGGAGCCTGAAATGTTGGACTAGCAGAAGTGTCAGCAATTGGTGGCCTAAGGACAAGACACATGGTTTCTCCAGTCATACAGAGTTCAGTGCGACAAAAGAGAGGCTGGATTTGATGATCTTCACAGCCCCTTCCTTCTCTGTCATTCTGTTTTGAATAAACAGATGTGGGGTGGGGGGAAGATACTGATGCGGGGGAAACCCACTCCGTTCCTCCTCTGGCTTTCAAGATTATTCTGCAAAAATGGAAGAACTTGGCTGCTGGATAAGGAACAGGCCTTTGTGTCTTCAGCTCTAAAAAATATTCTCTAGATTTGTAAAAATGGTTTTTGGGGTAAATTCTGGCACTTGCTCACTTGTTTCTATTTATTCCTTAGGACCTTTTCCTTTCTTGCTTTCCAAATGCCCTTTATGGTTCTGCATAACAGAATTATTTTTTCTTGCCCTTGCCCTTTCCCTTATCTTTCCCCTTTCCTTTGTCTTTCTCTTTGCCTTTCTTCTCTTTCTTCTCTTTCTTGACTTTCTTGATCATTTTCAGCACCTCTGCAAACGCTCCAAGCCCTTTGCGCACCATGAGACCACGCCAACACGCTTGGATCTGGGGGAGAAAAATGGTGCAATGTACATTAAATGAGTTAAACTGTGTTCTTTTTCAGAACTGAGGTAACATAGAAACAGAGCGAGTCAGAAGGGACCTCCGGGCCATCTAGTCTGACCCCTGGCTCCAGCCGGCTCCGCTCACGACATGCCCACCATGTGCATGTCCAGCCTATCTTTGAACACCCTCACTGCTGGGGCCTCAACCACCTCCCGGGGAAGCCCATTCCACACCCTCAGGGTCCTAACTGTCAGGAAGTGCTTCCTGGCATCTAAATGGAACTTGGAGGGTTCTATATTCTGAAATTCCACTTTCTTCTTGAAGGAGGGCTTGGTCAGTGATGTAGCCAGACTCTTTTTTGTAATTGTAGAAACCGTATTTCTTCTAAGTCTTATTCCCCCTTTCATCACCACTACCACTTAATATCACTCCCTTGGTTCTTTGGTTGTACCGCCTTCTTTTATAAAACCCAATGTGGTATTTTATAACAAACATACCACTGAGCATATGCAGAGTGCTTTCCTTCTACCACGGAGAAACTGTAACCCATTTGCACACAAGAACCATCAAACTGTATGTTATGCTAGCCTTTCAGAAGTTTGCTTAATCCATTATTTTTATTTTGAAGGGCAAGCAGTTGTGAGTTGCTGCTCTGGCACCATTCCTCCTATTTGGATGGGGGAACCTGTACTGGTTTCCTGCAGAAAACAACTCCCCAAAGATGGAGAGGCAGACGATTTTCGGTGGGGAAATAGCACAGGTCCTAGTTTGGATTGGGAGCATCAGAACAGGACCCCACAGCTGCTAATATATAAAAAGGAAACTCTACATATGTTCATTAAAAAAACCCCCAATGCAACATAGTTCTCCCCCAAGAATTAAGATGCATAGCTTCTTTCCATGACAGGTATCACGGCTCGAAAGCTGTTTTGTGCCTGCAAATGTCTCTCTTTAAATAAAGCAAGCTCTCTCTCTCCCTCCCTCCCCCACTTCACTTTCCTGCCTTGACAACACTTTGAGAGCATGGAATATATTTATTCAAGAAGTACCTCTATACCTCCTGAAAGTCCCTTGGACTGCAAGGAGATCAAACTAGTCAGTCTTAGAGGAGATCAACCCTGACTGCTCTTTAGAAGGCCAGATCCTGAAGATGAAACTCAAATACTTTGGCCACCTAGTAAGAAGGAAGGACTCCCTGGAGAAGAGCCTAATGCTGGGAACAATAGATGGCAAAAGAAGAAGAGGGCGGCAGAGGATGAGGTTGGCTGGATGGAGACATTGAAGCAGTCAGTGTGAGCTTGGGTGGACTCTGGGGGACGGTGGAGGATAGGAAGGCCTGGAGTGTTGTCCATGGAGCAGCGATGGGTCAGACACGACTTCGCAACTAACCACAACAATCTCTATACCTGGGTGCTGTGATCCCAGCTCTGGGCAGCAGCCTCAGAATGAAATTTTGCTGAGAAAGGGCCAACTAGATCGTTTGGACCGGCAGCACCAGAGACAAATTTTCAGTACCACGTCCAAGCCAGTGCTTGCGATCCCCGAAGTGGAACCTCCAGCAGCAGCGACCTCTGTGCCTGCCACGCTCCACCCCGGGCGTCCTTCTTATCCTTGCGCTGGGCCCATCAGCGCGACAGGCTTCGAGGGAATTAACCGGGAGACATGCAAGGCGCCAGCCTAGAGCCTGCCCCTTTAAGGGCTTCCACTTCTTAGGGCCGGGGAGGAGCCTGGGAGAGGGAAATGACCCTGGAGGAATAAAAAAGCTTCCTCCAAGGCACAGGTTTTATGCAGTTGGTTGCTCGCTTGCAGCTCTCCCGGGTGCTGCAACTGCAGACCTGCCTTGCCAAAGTGCAGGATTTTCCTTGAGCTCACGAGAGCACGCTCTGCTACCTTCCCTCTGCTGCATCTGGCATGTTGAAGCACCCTTCCGCTTTGCTCCGTTATGCTACCCCTTCCTCACGCCCCTACAATACTCTGCTTCTTGTGCGGCTCTTTTTCTAGCATGTACCTTTATGACCAGTTTTTTCCGGTGTCGTGCATATTGTAAGTACTTCCATATGGCTGGCAGCCCTTGCTGAAACACTTCTACCGGTGGGTCCATCATCGGGTTTCCTTCGAGTGAAATAACCTGCAGTTTCTCTAGACTATCCAGTTTCTCTGGGACTTGAAATAACTGATTGTTATGAACTAGCAGTTTCTGCAGGCCTAAACACACAAAATCACAAAATGTTCTGAAAGGCCACGTCCATTTCAGGTATACTTTTAAGCTAAAAGTCATTTCTTGAAACGTCAAGCTGCCTAGGGCCTTAGAAATGGGTGGTAATTCACAATATGAAAATTAGGATGGTTCAATGGTTTGAATGCTGGATTGGGGAGATCCGGGTTCAAGATCCTGCCTGGCGTGAAACCCACTTTGAGTCAGTTTCTGATTCCCAGCCTACCCTTTCTCAGAGGATTGTTGTGATGATATCATGGAGCGGGAGGGAGATCAGGTATGCATATGCAAAAGCCGGCTCCTCAGGCATTAAGCACCTTACACTCCATCTAGGTCGGTAGTTCTCCAAAATGATGCTGCAAGAGGGGCGACAACATAGCTGGTCCCATTTTCTAAGAGGACAGAAGGGCTGAGGGAAGTTATCATCTCAAGGTCAAATGAGATATGATATATGCAAAGCAGGACAATCTCTCCCCTCCCTATTTCTATAATTTATCCAGGGAATTTAGCATTGCAGAACACCGACACTGGCAGCTGAAAGGTGTTACAGAAGGATGAGAAGAGGAACTCCTGGCCAGGGCTCTGCAGCTAAGAATTCTTCCCTTCTGGAAGCCAGCAATTCCCTTCCTTTGTTTTTTACCTTGCAGATTGCATATGGAGTCGGGCAGCTCGATAAGAAAATTATTGTGGCAGTCAAGTACTTCCAGGTTGTTCAGTAAGCCTATGGAGGGTGGAAGATACTCAAAACAGTTGTTCTCAAGATACAATTCTTTCAGGTTCTGAAAAAAAATATGCATGCATTTGGATATATGCATTACTAGACCTACAACCTTTTTTCCCTTTACAGCCATGGAGGTATATCTTTATCGCTCCCAGGGCAAATTCTGAAGATGTCTTTTGTAGCTTTCCAGAATGGGTCGGTTTGAATGGGGCAAACTGGCTGTTGACCAATGCTGATGGGTGTCACAACACCTCTCCTCCTCCTGTAATCATCAGGGCAGTATTCAATTTGAATACTTTTGAATAAATAAAAATTTGTGTGTACTGGGGTTTGCTATGCCTTGTTGCTAAGGTGAACAGTCTACCTGAGGCAGGGCAGAAGGATCAGTGTTCTCTTAGCCATGCATCACTTGCTGGAAAGGTGCTGTGTCAAGCACCCAGAGGCATTATGGAAAAATGAAAACAGTGGGCACAGCCTCCCTGAGGAACCGCCAAGCCTGGCTGGCCCTCCTGGCCACTCCGGCCCTCAGCATCCGCCTGTGCCGATCCTTCGGGCCAGGCCTGCAATATGGTGTGGGCCACCACAGAGAACTTCTCCTGTGATCCAAGGCCTGCTCAGATTCTTACCTGTAACTGCCTGATGTTTTCCGGCAACTCAGTAAGTTTGATTCCATTGTCTTGCCCCATGTACAGTCTCTCAAGTGATTGAACAAGAAATACTTCTTCAGGGAAGCAGGAGAACTTGTTGCTGGTCAGACTGAGACATTTTAGCTGAGAAAGTCTGTACACCTGTGGAGGTACCTGGACAATTTTTTGAAACAGGAATTTTGAAGAACTGAGATAGTGACGGCAATTACAAAACTGCTATAAGCCAAAGAAAGGAGTGCTAACAATTATCTACATATAACAGGATATAATCTTTGGTGCAAGCCTTCCTCTCACATACCCCAAAATTTATTTAGGACAATCAAGTGGGGTCTGCAAGAAAATGCTTTAGTGTACACTGTTGTTCAAGAATCCATTCCCCAATACATGCCTGCACAAGCACACCAATGGTTCTTTGTCCCCCGAGACCCTGCTTAGTCCTTACCAGGCTGTTCTGGCAGGACAGGGTGGTGGGTTCCCCCAAGCAGTTCTTCTTTCTAAAAATACATTTCTGCAAATTGAGAGTTTTCTCCATGCATGATGAGACCTTCTTCTTGTGTGTAGAAGCTTCCCTGGCTTGGCCAAAGGGTGGAGCTCAGGGAATTGAGATCTCTATCAAAATGTGTAGCTTAGTCATATAGTGGCAGATTCTGATGTGTAGGTACTCATCATGACAACTCCTAGAGCAAACCCTACAAGAGGAGTCCAAACCTGCAAGCCAGCTAACCAGTTCTAGCAGTTCCATCTCCAGCAAGGGTGGGTCTTTTGTAAGGCTAATATCTTAAGTACCTGTTCCAGAGCAAGACGTTCCAAAATGCTTTGTATTTGCAATGCCTTTTTTGTAATTCACTTAGAGAGTCCTTGCAACTAATTAACTGTGGAATATAAATTGAATTAATAATAATATTTTTAAAAAGGAAATACCATCTTGTTGCTGGGAAAATTCATTTTACTTCAGATCCTGTGAGGATAACAGATATGCTCAGAAAGAGTTGGACGTGGTGATGGCCTTATAAGCCCCTTCCAACTCTGTTACCCTGTGAAGAATATGGGAGCCTGAGAGGGGCGGCATCAGGATCCTTGCTAATTAAAAAGGGGTGGTGCTGGGTTTCCTTCCACCACTGGCAGGACCTGCCCTTTCTGCTGCTCATTTTCCTGCTTCAAAGTCTGCCCCAATGGCACTCACTGCTGGTCTCTCATCTTGGAAGCAAACGCAGCTGGAAGAAAAGCAGTTTGGAGTGGATCATGTGGGGGAGAGGCAAGCAGTGGGGGATTCTGCATCCCCCACCTTGGTACCCATTTTGTGCCATGATTCACACCAGTTCCACTTTCTTTGTGATTATCATCATCATCATCATCATCATCATCTACATTTCTATACTGCCCATAGCCAAAGCTCTCTGTTGAGGAAAACTGCCGGAAGGAGCACAGGTGGTGTAGCACAATGTGATTCCAGCCTTAACCGGGTCTCGCCTCTGGAGACTGTTGAGGCCATCCGGCAAGCCACTTGATAATTAGGATGGTACAGCATTGGAATGCAGAAAAGTAAACAGCAGAGCTTATCACCTTGAGAGCCCAGAACAGCAGATCTGGCTAATTAACTGTTTTGATGTAGTTTTCTACAGCAAGTAAGACTCTTAGATTTAGGGTAGAGAGAGAGAAGGCTCACGACCCCGGCCAGAGTGAGTTCCAGTGATATCGAGCCGAGCAAGGAAGGTGACACACACCAGCCAAGAATTAGGGCTTTTTCCTTGTTGTTGGGAGGGAGGGGGTGCTCCGGACGGCTGATAGAGGAAAGCCAGCTTACTTGGTATTGAATTTCCTTTTCCATGTTATGAGTCTGTTTACACTGTAGTGCCTGTTTTAGAATAACATCTTTAGACTTTAATCCACCTGCGTGCACATTGCTTCTCGATCCAAAAAGAACCTTTCGCCCTCGGCAAAGCACTCTCTGCGTGGATCACAAGGTGTAAAACAATAAAATGCAATAGATAAAAACAATTTGGGACCCAGAATGACCAGGGAGGTCCTTAAAGACCTCGACAAAGAAGGATGTCTTAACCTGGCGCCAAAAAGATGGCAAATTTAGTGCCAGGGGGCCACAGCAGGGAGCTTATTCCAGGGATGGGGGATCGCCACCAAAGAGGCTTTCCCTCTAGTTGCCACCCTCTCGGTCTCCTGAGGGCTGGCACAGGGAAGCAGGCCTGATCTGTGTAGACTGGGGTTGAGAGAGGTGCTCCAACAGGTATAGCGGTCTCAAGCCATGTAGGGCTTTGCAGGTTAAGACCAGCACCTTGAATGACAGACCTGCGAGACTTTTTTTAAAGACGTGAGCCTGTTGCCATGATATGTAGTTTGGTTCTGAGCTTTAAAACATGTTCTCAAGCTTTTAAATAGATTTTAACTGAATTTTACATCAGTACTGCACTACTGGAACCATACCTCATCTATCAGGTTGTCATCCAGGCAGAGCACCTCCAGATGTTCCATGGCACAAATCTCTCTTGGAAATTCCTCCAGGAAATTTTCACTGAGATCTAATAAAATCATACCGGTTAGCTTGGCAAAAGAAGGATGCACTATCTGCAATCCGCAGTTTTTCATGTAAACCGTTATCAGTGACTTCCAGCGGCGAATCTGGCGTGGAAAACTTGCCAGGGCATTCCCAGACAACCCAAATTCCTTCATTTCTATTAGTTCCTTCAAGCTTCGAGGAAGTTTGTGCAGAAGGTTACAGGACAAATCAAGTACAGCTAGCTTTGAGCACTTACTTAGAGTATCAGGCACAGCTGTCAGGTTGTTGTACGCAATGAAGAATTGGGTTAAATTTTCCAAGGAGCAAATCTCTTCAGGAATAAGACTCAGAGTATTTTTTTCTAGGTCAATGATCTCCAAATTATACAGGTGGCAAAGTTCTGTGGGGAAATTCTCAAATCGATTTCCCTTTAGATAAATTTCTTTCAGTTTGGTCAAATTGAGTATTTCTTTTGGAAGGCAACTTAGATTATTTGTTGAGAGTCCAAGCAACTCCAGATGGTGGAGGTGTTTGCAGATTTCCACTGGAAAATCATTCAGGTTGACATCATATAATCTGAGCTGACACAGTGCCCTCAATTTACTGATGATATTCAGTGAACTGCAGAAGAGAGGGTTACTGCTCAAATCCAAACTCTGAAGACATTTCAGCTCACCAAGTTGCTCACATACGTTTTGGATGTGGTTCTTATTCAGATAAAGAACTTTCACATTCTTCAGCTGATAGATACTTTCTGGGATGTCCTTGATCATATTTCTCTCCAAATGTACTTCTTCCAGGTCTTCTAGTGCAAACACCTGCTCTGGGATGCTTGTGAGTTTTTTATTGGCTAAATCAAGAAAAAAGATTCGGTCTGTGATCTGCACTGGCACAAAAATCTCGTTTGGTTCTCCACCCACCTCTTCTTCATTTACTAGCTTTTTATCTTCAGCTGTTACGAGGACATTGTCATTTTCCGCATTGTCGTTTTCAGCATTGTCATCTTCCATAATGGTGACATAACCTTTAGAGCGGCAGGCATTTATTGTTGCATTGAAGGAGCTCTTTGAAATAGCAAGCATTGTATCCTGATTTTTGACTACAAAAGAAAAGATTTGAGAAATTAAATGATGCAAAAATATTGTATTATGGACCAATATTTGTACAGATAAATTCCAACCATGTCTTGAGTATAGGACAAGCTTTTGGCCTTTACTTATGCAAACTTTTTATTTTTCCTTTCATTGACTGATCATGACCATGCCACTCCAGATGTGTGAATTTGTTCTCACCTGCTCAACATAGCCAGAAGATATTAACAACTGTATAGGAAAATAGTCCTAATATGACTTGCTGCAAAGATGTTCTAATGCCAAAAATTTTGTGTGACTAGTCCTTGCTTTTGCTGAACCTTCCCTAAATAGATCAACCAAGGCAAGAGTTTTGGGTGATATTTTCCCCAAGAAGTAAAAAGTTAACAGTAAAAAGTAAACAATGCTTAACCTAGTTTCAGTGTCTTTGGAAAAGAGAGCACTGGAGATTTAATGGCGTACTTTGTAATGTTTGCCAGGTGAGCGCTGTCCGACCTGTTCTGCAGGCTTTGTACTTTCCCAGAGGACAGTGTGGAAAGTTCAGTTAGTGTTGGATATGACAGGCACACAGAAGCAGAGCGAGTCAGAAGGGTCCTCCTGGACCATCTAGTCTGACCCTTGGCTCCATCCAGCTCCACTCATGACATGCCTACCAGCTGCATGTCCAGCCTATCCTTGAAAATCCTCACCAATGGGGCTTCAACCACCTCCCATGGAAGCCCATTCCATGCCCTAGGGGTCCTGTCAGGAAGTACTTCCTGGCTTCCAGATTGAACCTTGGTAATATGATGGCAAGATTGCTAATTATGCTCAGTGGTAATCTGTCCATCTCCTAACCCAGTTCAATGTGCTGGTTTTGACCTTCAAGGTTCTCCATGTCTCGGGACCACAGTACCTGAACACTGCCTCTTCCCATGAGATCCTGCATCCTGAGATCATTATAGAAGTCCCATGTTTGGGTGCTCCAGCCAGGTGATGTGTAGCAGGCAGCTACATGCAAAATATTTCCTGTACATGCACCCCAGCTGTGTAATCCTCTCCCCAAGAAAGCTTATCTGGTGCTTAATATCCTTTTTGCAGGGAAAGACCATTCCTTCCCCTTGTCTACGTCTAAATATTGTTATACTTCTTTAATCCCTTTTAGTTCTTATATTTGATTCCCTGCTCTTTGATTCCCCTCTGAACTTAATTTGGAGTTTAATTCTGCATCAATTTTGATTGCAAAAAAATTCTATAAATTCCAGCAACAGAGCGTAAGAAAAGCCATGCTGGATCAGACCTGAGGTCCATCTAGTCCAGCACTCCACACACATAGTGGAGAACCAGGTGCCCACAGGATCCCTCAAGCAGGATGGGTGCAAGGCCTCCTCCTGCCCAAGCTCCTCAGCCATTGGTGTGTGCAGGCAGGTCACCTCTCCTAAAGGAGGTAGCATATCATCAGCAAGGCTAGTAGCCACTGGTAGCCTCCCCCTCCTTCTAAAGCCATCCAGATTTGTGGCCATCACCACTTCCTGCAACAGTGAACTTCATGGTTTTAACTATTCACCATGTGAAGAAGTCCTTCCTTTTATTCGTCTGAAAGCTCCCACCAATCAGCTTCATGGGATGACCTTGAAGAGAGTCGAGAAAGAAAAATCTCTCCCTTTTTCGCTTTCCACACCATGCATTATTTCAAACCTGTACCATGTCTCTTCCTACTCATTTTTTCTAAGCTGAACAGTCCCAGTTTTTGCTGCTGCTCCTCACAGGGGAACTGCTTCAGCCCCCTGACCATTTTCATTTCCCTCCTCTGCACTGCTTTGCAACTCTCAGTCATGTCCTTTGTCAGGTAAGGCAACCAGAACAGAACACAATATTCCAAGTGCAGCCGCATCAAAGACCTGTACATGGGAAATAAGGTTTTGGAAGTACTATTTTCTTTCCATTCGCAATTATGAGCTGCCTTCTTTACAGCAACTGCCACTGGGCCAACATTTTCATCAAGCTGTCCCCTGCTACCCCAAGATCCTTTTCTTGCCCAGATTGCATCCGTGTGCAATTGGTATTTTTTGCCCTGTCATGCATTCCTCGTGTATCCAAGCTGGCTGAGGAATCCTGGGAGTTGTAGGATATGTTTCTGTCTACACTTGGTTTCTTAAGAACCCCAAGTTCCTGAGTTCCTTCATGCTCCTATTTTCTGTACAGAGTAATTTCTGTTGCTAAATTTACAGGGCTCCAAAGAAGAAATGTCTTCTGTTTGGCTCAGAAGTTATGTGAATAACTTCATGTCCAAGTTTATATGTCTATCAGAGATTTTATGCAACTGGGATTTTGTGGGAAAAGGTGGGGGGGGGTTTGGAATTGTGGATGCTTATAGAGTACTGCAAAATATTCTGAAATAATAATCAGCACTTCATCTTAAAATGCATGGATCACAATATTTTTTTGTTGGAGTAAATGTCTGTTTTACAAATGAATGTTACAGTACTTTGCTGTGAATTCTCCCTTTTAAGTGATGTGTGGGGGCCCAAACATACATTACTTTAAAAAAGCAGCTACAGCTTTCTTTTCTCTTTCATTTTTAATTTAGCAGGGGCAGGGAGCTAAGCTTGTCTGAGACCATATGATAGTCAAGTCTTTAACAAAGCAGATGGATCAATATTTTGTAATAGAAGTTGCGTGGTGGGTGGTGACGTAAGAGAGGAGATGGAAGACATCCGTCTGCTCTTCTGGTTGTCAGGGAAAGTAGGTGGCATCCAGACTTGTTATTTTTTAAACCACTGGGAGCTTCTGACACAACTGTCAAATTCCGAGGCACTCACCCAGTTCAGGTGGGGCTGAAGATGATTTGTTCTTGTGTCTCTGATGTCATAGAACTGACCTGATGCTGTATGATCTTCAGCAGGCTGGTTTCAATGAGAGAAGAAGGGAGTGGAGAGAGAGGTGGGGAAAATGGCCAGGAAAAGGCCAGTGAGCTCATGCCTACCTCAGCTATCGTAATAATACCACCATGGAGAGCCTCCTCTTGGATTTGGCCTCATCTTCCCAGGTATCAGCAGAGAGAGGTGGGGAAGGAATGGGACAGGAGGAAACAAGGAATGAACCAGCAGAGATACTGGGAGAACGTATGTGCTTTCCTTCTGATACTCAGACCTCATACTTTATCTGAGCCAACAGTGTGCTGTAGATTGAGCGAGGGCAATGTGGACTGGGTTCAGACAATACCATAACCCACAGTCAAGGTCTGAATATGGGTTGAGACTAAGTTCACACAACCTGATAAGCCACAGTGGTTTATAAGCCAGGGGTAGCTTACTGTGTTCTTTTAATCCAGCTGGAGAGGTTAACAAATCATGCTGCAGCCACCATGGCTTATTGTGTTGTATGAACCTATGAGTGTGGGTTGTTGTTGAAATGTGGGTTATCATACTGTCTGAATCAAGCTTCACTCACCAACTTCGGCTTGTTAACCATTAACAAACTATGCCGAGAGCCCATGGTAAATTGCTAGATTGTAAACTGTGGTTTGTGTAGTGGGCTGTGTTATCTTAGCTTGGGCAACACTATTCATCAGCAACCAACATTCAACCCTTGAGGGTGGGTTATCCTGTAGTCTGAATCCAGCCATTCTCCAGATCAGCTTTTCCTAACCTGGCACCCTCCAAAAGTTTTGGACTTCAGCTCTCATCTGCCCCAGGCAGGGTGGCCAATGGTCAGGAAGTGCAAAGCTGCAGTTCAAAATATCTGAAGGGCCCCAGCCTGTGAAACTAATGAATGGCACTGTTGAAAGTCTCTTTTCCTTCTCTGGTTCACAGAATAGGTATGACGACAAAATGGTTCTATCTAATATGTTGTTGTTGTTAGTTGCAAAGTCGCGTCCATCGTGACCCCATGGACATTCCTCCAGGTTTTCCTGTCCTCCACTCTCTCCCAGAGTCCACCTAAGCTCACGCCGACTGCTTCAGTGTCTCCATTTAGCCACCTCATTCTCTGCCATCCCCTTCTTCTTTTGCCCTCAATTGTTCCCAGCATTAGGCTCTTCTCCAGTGAGTCCTTCCTTCTCATTAGGTGGCCAACGTATTTGAGTTTCATCTTCACCACTCCAAACACCTTGGAGGCTCAGACATAATTGTCATACGTCAGTGAAGTCCTTTTCATAAATAGAAACATAGAAACAGAGCAAGTCAGAAGGGACCTCCCAGGCCATCTAGTCTGACCTCCGGCACCAGCCGGCTCCACTCACGACATGCCCACCATGTGCATGTCCAGCCTATCTTTGAACACCCTCACCGATGGGGCCTCAATGACCTCTCGTGGAAGCGCATTCCACACCCTCGGGGTCCTAACTGTCAGGAAGTGCTTCCTGGCATCCAAATGGAACCTTGGTTCCCTGAGCTTTGCTCCATTGGAGCACGTCCTGCCTTCCTCTGCAGGGGAGAACAGGTCTCTACCCACCTCCGTGTGACATCCCCTCACATACCTGTATGTCGCCAACATATCCCCTCTGAGTCTCCTCCAGGCTGAAGAGACCCAGTTCCCTCAGTCTCGCCTCAGTCCCCATCCCCTGCAAACCAGCCACCAACCTTGTGGCCCTAAGCTGCTCTGACTCTAACCTAGCTATATCCTCTCTGTAATGAGGGGCCAAAACTGAGCACAATACTCCAGTTGTGGGTGCACCAGAGTCATATAGAGTGGTAGTAATAAATAAACTGAGAGTTGTTCCCCTACATCGAATGGACGTCATGAGAATGTGGGTTCGGTGGACTCACCAGGCAGAGTTCAGTGTCTTGATGAAAGTACTGGAAGCAAGTTGAAAGATATAAATGCAGATTGATTTGGGCGTTCCTTGCTGATGCTAGTGGAAGATGCTGTCCTGTCACCAACACTGAAGCAAGGTTCAATTGCCAGTTGTTTCTGTACATGGAATGGTGGAGTGTGTGTGGTAGGGGAAATCTTGTCCTTTGTCTTAGGCAGCAAAATGTCTCGAGATGCCCTAATTTAATGGATCTTTGTATTTCCCCTGAGGACTCAGCACCAAATACATACCTACCTACATACAGTCTTTCATACATTTTGCAATATATAAAACAGGAGCAAATTTTAGTCTTAAACCTATAGAGAGTGATACATTATTTAGGAACAGTTATGAATCCTTAACAGAACACCCCCTACTACTGAAACTGTTGTGTTCTTATTGTTCAGATAGTCTGTTTATGCATCTCGTTCCTCGGTAGATCAGCTTAGAAACTGTACAAAAGCACCTAGCAAAACATGTCTCTGAGTCTCTTCTCCCATCAGTGGCCAAATGTGCCCTAATTTGCTAGGCTGCTGACAGAACTGGCAAGGAGTTGCTATAGTGCCTTTCTGCCTGGTATGCTGCTCCTACTAAGCCTTTGATCGAACATGGTGTGAGTTATTAACTAAGGAAAGTCACTCTGCAGATGTCCAGAGCTACCATTTTCTACTGTTGCTTTTTAATAGTGTTATGGAGACTGAGCTTTGGCACTAAAAATACCTGTTATTGAGGAGCAGTTTCTCGAACTTGGAGGACATTTTTCTGCCTAAATATTACTTTTATATCCCACCTTCCCTCTTCTTGCAAGGAGCCGAGTGGCTTACAAGAGTCTCCTCCTCCCCATTTTATCCTCACAACAAAGCTGAGCGGTAGGTGAGGCTGAGAGTCGGCGACTGGCACAAAGTCACCCAGGGAGCTGCGCGGCTGCGTGGGGACGACCCAGACCTCCCCAGTCTCGATCCAGTACTCAGCAACCGCGCCGCACCGGCGCTCCTAAATATGCACAGGATAGCGCCGTAAGCCTTGCGGCTAGACATCGCCAGAGTTTCAACAAGCGCCCCGCCATCCCACGCCGCGTTATCAAAGGAAGGTGTCTCGGCGCGTGAATTGCTCGCGCGTTGCGCGGAATGCACGTGCGAGCGCTCGGAGGACTCGCTTGATTCTTGCAAGCTGCGCTGAAACCGCCGCTCTGGGACCCTCCCCAATCTTAGGCGACGTTTGCCGGCCGCCTTGGTAGATGAAGTAGGGCTATGGCGGAGGCCGGGGTAGCGTACCTCTTTCTGCACCCGGGCTGAAAGCTTGGGGGCGCAGGCGCGCGCCGGAACGCTCGGCCTGCGGGCGGGAAGGAGCGCGCGCACGGTCGCCCCAGCAACGGCGGCGCGGGTGGAGTTTGTTGCGCGGCGCGTGTCCTCTGCAGAGAAAGCATTGCGGCGGCCGCAGGTACGGGGCGCAGTAAAGGAAAGGGGTCTTTTCTATCCCGATTGCCCTGAAGTGGGGGGGGAAGGGGAGAGGAGGGGAGCCGCTCGCTTATTTCAGCTCCCGAAAGGCAACATGGCGAAAATGGTCAAATAAACAGGTCTTTCCTCCTCCAGGGTCAGTGCAGCCCCGTGAGTGTTTATGCAGAAAGAAACAAGTCCCTGCGCGTGTATTTGAAGGCCCAGCTGGCGTGATTTCCCCTCCCCAGCGAAGGTCCAACAGCCGGCATGATTTTTCCGCCACGCGAATCTTTGGCTTAAACATGCTTCGTGGAAAAGCTGCTCCGTGTGACTTTCTCGAAGTCCTCCTTGATAGAAGCCAGTTGCAGCTCTCATCTGGAGGAAGGAATTTGGCCCTGTGTATCGTGCCCTCGCCTTGCATAGTGCTAGTTGCTTGCGACTTCTTGTGAGCAGAGGCGTGGTATAAATATTTTAAATAAAAAAGGTGCCTCTTCCAGCCGTTCAGCAACCTGTGAAAAAGGATTCCACGATAATGGTATGACCAGCTTCTTGCTGGTCAGTCTCTCCCAACACCTTCCAAGCAGATCAAGATCAGAGTCATCAATCTACAGTCTTGACTGCTGGCCAGCTACACTGGCTTTGTGATACAAAAGAGGAATACTGTAGAAGCCATTAACCAAAGACCCCAGATGTTACAAAACAAACAAACCAGATACTGTGGCCTAATGCTAAGATGTTTCCCAGTTAAGTCTCTCTCCTCTCTTATCTACCAAATGGGGTTAGCTTCACCTTCAGGGTGCTTCTTTCTCCTTGAGGGCCAGACAGCAGTAAAACGGGATGCTAGTCAGTTGGATTTTCTTTTGGCCTTGAAATGATGTCTTTTGGGAGAAGCAGAGCAGTCCCTGCTTGGACTGAAGTTACAGGAAGACAGATTCTACCTAGACATCAGGAAAAACTTCCTGACTGTTAGAGCAGCACAGCAATGGAGCCATGACCCAGGGAGGTTGTGGGCTCTCCCACACTGGAGGCATTCAAAAGGCCGTTGGCCAGCCATCTGGTAGGGATGATTTACTTGGAGTCCCGCACTAAGCAGGGAAATGGACTCCGTGGCCGTATAGGCCCTTTCCAATGCTACTATTTTATGATTCTGTCAAGGATCTTCATAAAAATAAAGAAGTGACCATTTGTGAGTGTGTTATTTTCTTAATGTTTGATGCATAGCCAATGGTCCTTTTCTTTCACTCTCCCCCACCTTGCTTCCCACAGCTACCTATGTTCAAATCTCTGAGCCTTGACAAACAGTATTCTCAAATCTGTGAAGAACTGAAGCATCCGGAGAACCCATTCATAAGCCATGTTCTCCAAGAAGCCTCACAGGATGAAGAAATGTAAGGCAATAACAACGGGGAGAAGCCAATACGTTATTTCACTGTTGAACAGAGCTTGATTAAAATGTCATCCAAAAATTGAACTGATGTAGGGCTTGATTAAATGTTCTGTGCTAAGGTAATCTACATTCTGCAGTGAGGGATTCTGGGTTCTGTATAAAGAATACAAATGATGCAGAATTGCCTACATGTATCTGCTAGCTAAGGGAAAGGAAAGGAAAATTTGCGGGTTACTGAAGCTACCTACTACAAATCCCAGCCAACCATTTCACTTCTCAGATGCTCCAGACCTTCTGAGATGTCATCAAGTATTGCTCCCGGAGAGTATCTTTATGGTTAGAGACCTGCCCATATAGCTACAGATAAATGAGAGTATAGATAAATGGGCTAGAAAATCTGCTTGTCTGTCTTTCATGCTTTCATAGTTTTGCACTGTGTTGTTCAGCCAGAAATATGAAAGGCTGGTTTTGGACCTTGTCTGGAATTGAATGGCACAGGTTGGAGAATTAATGTAGTGTATTGTCTGAGAGTGTGTGCTGAGAAGTTGCTGATTCAAATTCATTCCAATCTTCAATCTATATTATGGGCATAATTGTACTGGCCTACCTCACATGACTGTTGTAAAATGTGTAAGCATATGTGAAGTCCATTGAATTCCTGAAACGTACTTTAATGGTATCATTATAGCTTCTACTGCATTGCACACTACTCGTTTTAAGAAACATGAGGAAGGTAGATACCATCAGGGTATTATTTTTCTTGAAACAAATGAAGTGGTAATTTGATATAACATTTGCTTTTAAATTCTATTTACTCAAAGACTGATTTCTGGTCAGATTGTACACATCATTCACCTTTGGCTAGAAATCTCCATGGAGAGGAACATAAATAATTTTTGAAGTCCTGTTAAAAGAATTAAATACCGACATCTTCTATTTACCTTATAACAGGTTATCCAAAAAAATCACAATAAAAATAGCTGGAAATAACCGCTTGGTACCTGTGCAGAAGGTGACAGATACTGATTTTCAAGTGCTTGCTCTTGTCTTTACAAACAATGTGTTTCTTACAGGTACGTATCCTTAATATTTAAATCTTTGACATGAATGTCCATGCTTAGCATAAGTTCTATCCACTCCATTTCACCCATTCATTCATATTTCTGCATTGCCACTTTTCTTTTTTTACCAGCACCTGTGAGAGTAGAGGCAAAAGAATGGGAGGCTTGGCATGGAAAAGCTTCCCCCTCTTTTACAAGCACAAAAGGTTGAGTGGTGGATCCTGGGAAGCAGTGCAGATGATGCCCCTAACTTGGGAGACTGTCACCAGTGTGTTATGAAAATTCTAATGACAACACATGACATCCCCCTTTTTGGTCCCCATATATTCAATACTGAATAAGCAGAAGGCAAGACCTTACTTTAATCACAGAGGAGACTCCGTGGGGAATTTTAGAGCAGTTTGTAATGTGGATATGCAGTGCATTGTGGGTGCAAAAAGGCAAATCGGAAAAGCTAGCTGGTACCATCAGTTTTTAATTGCACAGAAAAAACAGAGCAGTGAGTCCAGAGGCTTGGGTATTTGGAAGCTATCTGTCTTCCTTTGATTTCGGGACAGCCCTGGGGCAGTCACTCTATCTATATAAACTCTTCTTCCCAACTCGCATTTGCCATCCTGGCTAGGGCAGATGAAAATTGAAATCCAAAAGCATCTGTAGGACACCAGGTTGGGGTTGTGCAGACACTCCTGAGGTTGGAGCTCAACAGGCCTTGTGAAATTTTTGCAAATGAGGCTTAAGATACTGTTGACTTCAGCACCGATTGTGTCAACAACTGAAAAAAGTTCACACTGAAGATTAAACACAGGAGAACTGTCTGTAACCTTAATGACCGTTCTGGCCAAAGTCAGTTTTGCTGTCATGTTACAAACCCAGCGGAAGCTGCTTTAATTCCCTGCAAGCAAAAATTGCAAGCATCTGTAAATGTGAAAGAGAGGCATTAGTAACATTAATAAACTTTCTGCCCAGTGTCAGTATTGCATTTGCGTTGGGTACCAGAATGATGAAAGAAACATTTTAAGCCTCATGGGTGAAAACACAATTGGAAGAGCAGAATGGTGCACAGAATGGCTAAAATTAACAGGCTGTAACAACAATGAATGGTTTACTCAGTGTTCTCATTTCTATATACATTGGCTCTTTCAGGGCTGGACCTGAGATACAACCTGTTAACTGATGCTGCTGCAGTACACATTGCCGCTTTCCTTCAGGTACTTCCAATGAAGACCAATGATCATTCTTACCTGGGAATTCCTTAGAAATGATAGTTAGGGTGACATGAATTGTCACAGAAACAAAGCTCACAAAACAATGTCATGCTGGTCCATGTAAAGAAAGATCCCAAGTCCTCAGTTAGGAAGCAGAAAGTCCATAAAATACACCTCCTATGAGTTCTTCAGAAATCTTCATCAAGTTAGGTGGCACAAAAAGCAGAGGATGGAAAAAAATGTATCCCATAAGGGAAGCGTCAGGTTTCATAGATACTACTATACTTTCCCCATCACTGTGTGTGGAAAGACAGTCTGCCTCTGTGGAAGAAAATCATGGGAGGAATAATTTGTAGAAGGATCCCAAGCTGCTGTCAAGACATTTCTCAGTGTCACTCAGTTGATCGATAGCTGTGTGGTACATAACTTTTCTGGGAAGTGGGATGCTCGTGGGAATGACTCCTCCCATCGCATCTTGGGGCCAGCACCAAATGGTACTAAGCAAGGAATTCTCCAAATGATTATCCCTAGTGATAGCTGCTGGATTGGATCCACACATTTATGCAAACATAAGCACCAGGGGATCCTGTACTTGCCTTTGTTCTCTCTGGCAGCAGAGGAGTAGTGCTGTCAGAAAGTGGCTGTCTGTTTGGGGAAGAAGAGCACAGCAGTGTGCCTGCACCCCGGGGCTGCATTTGTAGATTGGTGATAGAATGGAGTTTTTGCTTAGTTCAAAAGCTCATGGGCCTTTAGTGAGAGATACTGAGTGCAGTTCTACTCAGGACCATGCCATGTGGGAGAGGAATGAATGGGCAGGTTCCAGATGGCAGGGCTGGGAGGGGAGTAAGGGGCCCCATGGAACCCGCCCATTTACAAGTACCTGGATTTCCTTCCTTGTCTTCTAGGATAATCATACCCTGCTTTACCTGAACCTGATGTTTAATGACATTGGTATTACTGGAGCAGAATTCATAGCTAAAGCCCTGCATGTAAGTATCCATCAGTCTTGGAGGGGAAGTCTTGGAGTAAAAAGTATTTTGTTTGCAGCAAAATACTTAGGAATTTCAAAACTGATGTGGGTTATTGGTGAACTTTTGGGAGGTGCAGGGGAAGCCACCCTGAAGGGACACTTGCGTTCAATGTTGTTGCGGTATTTAGAAGTAATTGAGAATTGTGTGAGCTATTTCAGGTTCCTCACAAGAGGAAAAAAGCTGGAATAGAATGTAATAATAGTAACAATTAGTAGTAGTATTGCTTGAGCTCCCTGACGTTGCAGAGAGGTACATCAGGTGGTAGGGTCTCTGGTTGCCATTGGCTGAACTAACCTGATCCTAGAGAAAGGCAGAAGGGTTAGGAGGGTTAGAAAAAGCACAGAAAGGAAGGGTAGTGCCTTGAAGGTAGCAGGCAAAGAGAAGCAAGGAAAAGTGCTCACGTTAGCACACACACCCAGAAGACTCTCTCCCCTCACCTGTTTTGGTAGTCATGGTAGCCACTCTTTTGGAAGGTTGTGGTTGTGGAGTGGGACAATCTAACTAAAATTTGTGATAGTCATAGGCTGTGGCTTACAGATTTGATTCAGGGCCCTCCCCCTTCCCCCTCCTACTTTGGATATTGATGTTCAGAGGAATGAGAAGAAGGAAAGAAATGGTGAGGAAGAACGAGCATAGGGAGAGAGCACCCAGGGCCGAAAACTATAGCAGTGGGAAAAGCTGAAGTTCACCGAATGATTTGAAAAAGCTGCTCTAGACTTAGCTGCTGTAGCTTGGTGGTAGAGCATCTGTTTTGTGTGTAGAAAACCTCAGGTTTAGTCCTCATTTCCCCAGGTAAGGTTGGGAAACTTCTGCCTGAAAACCTGGAGGGATGCTGCCAGTCAGTGTTGCCATTACTGGGCTGGATGGACTAGTGCTCTGACTTTGTACGAGGCAACTACCTCTGATCCCAATTTCACTGAATTTAAAGATGCCACAGTCTGTGTTGGATTGTGTTTAGTGAGAATCATCAATAAAAATAGTTGTGGAAGTAAATTGCACAGTTAGATGATTAAAACTACAGTGAGAAGCATATTCATTTTGAAGCACTGCTGAAAGCAATGGTGCACCAGGAAAAGGGGTTTGATGAGGTGCCCCTGGCTGAGGATGATAGGAGTTGTAGTCCAATACATCTGGAAGGCATCAGGTTGGGGAAAACTGGTAATCTTGGGCTCCTTCCTGATGTTTGTTTATTTAACAGCTGTGAGATAGCCCAGCCTTGGGCTTTCCTCCCTCACCCGTTTAATATGATCCCTCAGCATGTTACTGGATTACAGCTGTAAGAGGTTTTTCATGGCAATTGCTGGAGAACCTATTTCTGCAAGTTTTTAACTCCGTAGCAAATTAGGGTTCTTTGCAGATAAGAGTGTCATGAAATAACTGACGTTTCATGCCTAGCGGAATGAAACTCTGCTTCATCTACGAATGACCGGCAACAAGATCGACAACAAGGGAGGGATGTATTTTGCAGCAATGATGCAAGTTAACAATACGTTACAGAAGTTAGATTTTGGAGACTGTGACCTGGTGAGTAAAGTCAAATTACCCTGCTCCAAAATGTCTAGACAAAATGCAAAGCTGTTTCAAATATGTTTAACTGCTAAAAAATATGTTTAGAACTGTAGTTTTGGAGGGAACAAAAGATCAGCTTGTATATTGGTAGAAACTGTATGACTGGCTTTCCCTGGATTGTGTGTCCTTTGTCTTTATCTCCAGGGTACACAAAGTCTGATAGCATTAGCAACAGTTTTGAATCACAATGAATCGATCAGAGCCATAAATCTAAACCGGCCAATACTGTACAGTGAAGAGGTAAGCGTCATGGATAGATACCAGAACTGTTGCAAGAGAAAGGAACAGGGTGCCAGGGAGGGGAATAGGAACAGCAGAAGAAAGTGAATGGGTTATTACTGTCTCTGTAGCAGCTTTCCTTAGCCTCCGTATGCTTTGTATATGTCCTCTAAGGTAAGTGGAGGAAAGCAGGTCTTCTGAAAGCAAAATCGAAGGCCTCAACGCACTGAACTCTAGACATATTGAATTGCGATGCTAGATGCACTGGATTGTAATGGACATTGGAATGCTAAAGTTGTGTTCCAGCACATCAAGTTGCTGTAGATGAAGCAAATCTTGTGTTTTTCCTCCACTAGATATAGCAGGATATGGATATAGCTAGATGTTCTTACTCATCTCAGTGGGAACCCAACTGCAGTGCGTGCTTGGTGTACTGGTTAAGAGTGCTGAACTCAGGAGATCTGGGATCTAGTCCCACTCAGCCATGAAACTAACTGGGTCACTTCAGGTCAGTCACAGACTCGGCCCAACTACCTCACAGGGGTATTGTGAGAATAAGACTGAGAGAAGGAGCTATGTAAACTGCCTTGAGTTCCTTGAAAAGAAAAAAGATAGGATGTTAATATGATTAATAATAATAATAAGTGATTATCTCAGTGAAGATTTGCACATTTTAATGACATGGATCTTGGATCTGAATGAGGAAGAGACATGGCATTTAAAGCAAATGCAATGCAGTGATTGTCTGCATGCTGTACTGGATGAAATCTATTCAGCTTTTACGGTTTTGCATCCAGAGCTGCCCTGCAGTGCTCCTTAGTCTCCTATTGACCAAGTAGGAAACTTTATTTATTTATTTATTTATTTATTTATTTATTTATTTATTTATTTAAACATTTCTATGCCGCCCCTTGCCGAAGCCTCGGGGCAGCTCACAGCATAAAATAAAATACAATAAAATACAAAAATAACAATATAAAATATATAACAATATAAAAGAAGTCGCCCTGGCCAGATAAATAAGCAAATATTGTTAACAATTAAAATGACGTTTAAATAAAAAGGTCTTCGCCTGGCGCCGAAAAACAAATAACGACGGTGCCAGGCACCAGGTGGACCTCTCTAGGGAGCGCATTCCATAGATTGGGCGCCACCGCAGAGAAAGCCTTCCTCCGAGTACCTACCCTCCTAATTTCTTTCACGGAGGGTTCCTGGAGGAGGGCCTCTCCCGCAGATCTCAAGGGGCGGCCGGGCATATATGGATGTAAGCGCTCCTTCAGGTAACCAGGACCCAAGCCGTTTAGGGCTTTATAGGTCATCACCAACACCTTGAATTGGGCCCGGAAACTTCCTGTGATGAGATGAATTACGAGGATCCCCATTGGCTCTAGAACATGTTTGGTTTAAGTTCTAACTGAATAATATTAATCTTTAGGAAGAGACTACCGTCCACATAGCTCTCATGCTGAAAATTAACAGCGTCCTTGTAGAACTGCATTTGTGTAAACATGGAATGAAGAATTTTGGTGTTGAACGTCTATGTGATGCATTATATGAAAACGCTACCCTTCGATATCTTGACCTGAGTTGGTAAGAGAGGCTGAAATTACATAGACTGCCTTTTCCCTTTTTAATAGACTACAGGTCTGCAGCAAAATGTTGCAGTGTGATGTATTTCTTTTCAGGATTCCAGACACACCATTTCATTCCAGCCACTCCTCCCCAACATTTTTTCTGTCCCCTGCACCCTGCCTGTGTCTACAGATATTGTGTCCTCCCCAGTTGTTCTCCCCATGCCACAAGTCATGGGGAGATAACCCCCTTTGGTGCTGTTTTGGCTACAGAAGGACCAGCAGATACTTCATAAAATAAGATTGTCATGAGGTATGTTGTATGCATAAAAATGCAAATAAGACTTACTTCTGACTATCTATGTGTGTGTGTGTGTAAATTGAGAATGAGTTTTGAACAAGTGTACCTCAAAATCTGTGTACACCCAACATTAAATAATACTTAACCTACTGTATATTCAGAGAACTTTGAATACATTGGGTTGGACCCAAACATCTGGAACAAGATTGTTCTCTAAGTCTTGACTAAGCCCCTTCAATATTAGTGTGCCTTACTTTTCAACTGACATTTTTTTTTTGTTTAATTGCTAAGTTGTGTCCAAACCTTCACAACCCCATGGACAACATTCCTCCAGGCTCTTCTGTCCTCCACCATACCGTGGAGTCCACCCAAGCCCACAACATTTATTTCAATAGACATAAATTGTGCTCTTAGTTGAACCTTGTTCCTGTTAAACTTAAATCCCAGTTTGTTCCCACTAAACTTAAGTGTATCTATATCAGCCTACCACAACCTGAGATGCCTTTTTGGTATTTTCAGAACAAATTTCCAGGATTTCTGGTCATGCTGGCTGGTACTCATAGAGGTCCAAGCCATTTGGAGACCACAAGGTTGGAGAAAACTGATTTGTGCCTTCCCTGTTTAGTTTTTATATGCACTCAGAATGGCTGACAGAAATTAAAACCAGCATAACGTTTCATAATAGAATATGATAAAACCAAGACAGGTTCATCAGATAGTCATGCCTAATTTTCCCTATTGACTTCAGTGGGTTCTACATGGATCTAACTTAGGCTGCATTCACATAATATGACAAGCAATCCTGCATGGTTACCAGGGTTAATGGTTTTTACCATGATCTACCTGACAGGCATTCAAGTGATTTCTGCATTATCATGGTTGCCATCCTCCCCAGTCTCTCCTCCTTCGGTTGGCACATACCCATCAGACACTGGGCCTGAAATTCAGCCCTACGGTACATTGCTCCTCGCTTGTGTCACCTGCTTCTTGCTCACTGGTTTGCACATACAGGCTGGATGGTTGAAGTGACTCTTTTCAGTGGATTCTGCGGTAGTTGTATACCAGGAAGCCTTGATCCTGCGTTCAGACAACACAACAACCCATATTGGTATGAAGAAACCATAGAACAAGCTATTGTTTCTTAATCTGAAATACCATGATTGGGTTCAAACAACACCTCAGACCAACAATGGTAACCCCCCGCCCCCAGCATTGTTGTGTTGTTTGAACCCAGCCTTACTCTGGATCTAATCCATTACCTCGGTAATTCTTACTACAGACCTGCAAAGCAGAACAGTGTTGGTAGGTTGAAGCTGAGAGAACAACAGCTTGTTTAAGACCACCTACATTTGTTCAAGGTGGTAAGACTGAACTGACAACTAACTGGCTTACATCTTAACCATATAAGTAAAGGATGTTGCCTCTGTCATTCTATGTATCAGCATAATTCTTGCATGTTAGCCAAAAGGGCTGCTTAGATATCAGTAGAATTAATCAGTGACATATACAATTTATTAAATGCCAAAACACATTTCTTGGTGATACTTGCTCACTATTGGAAAAATATCAGAATTATGAGACACTGTAAAAAAGTGACAAATTAATCTCGGTGTAAGTTTTTATCACCTGGAGTCTGTAGCTCTGTTCAAATGTATTTTCTTAATCCATCTGATCCTTTGGAAGGTGACAGTGTCAGAATAGAAAAGTATATGCTTTTCTCTTTTCAGTAACAAAATTTCTCGGGATGGCGTCCAATTTTTGGGACAGATGTTAAAACGAAACAACACCCTGGAAATCCTGGATCTTAATTTTAACAGAATAGAAGATGATGGGGCTTTCTATCTGAGTGAGGCGCTTACTAAGCATAACCGGACCCTTCAAGCGTTAGTATACAGAACTCCTTAACTCTCAGGATTTGTTACTGTAAAGGCAGACATATGGTTTGGCAGAGCAAACTGGATATGGTAGGAATCCATGAGAGGCAGTGTGGCCTGGTGGTTAAAAGTGCAGGACTGGGACTTGGGTGATCTTGGAGCCAATGGATTCTGGGCCTGTCACAGACTCTCAGCCCTCCCTACCTCACAGGGTTGTTGATGTGGGGATAAGATTGAAAGCAGGAGAAGAATTATGCAAGCTGCTTTGAGTTCTTTGTAAGAAAAAAAGGCAAGATAGAAATCTAATGAATAAATAATAAATCATCCTATACTTCAGGTCAAAATGTCCCTGTTGCTAATTCCACAGTGACACACATGCTTGGCCCAAGGAATTTACTGAAACAGTAGAATGACAATGTTGGGCACCTGTCCGTTGTGCAAGAGTCCCTCCTTGGCATCCTCCGTGATCCTGCAGAGGTTCCTGGGATGCACCTTATGGATCAACTGCCTCCTAAAAATGAGCGCTTGAGTCACTGGTGCAACCAGGCCAGCTCGGTCTGCTCACAATTGGTGCAAAAAAGGATGAGGCCCTGGATGCTCCATCATGTTGCTTGGGGGTTTGGGGAAACAGTGGACTGTTGTTGTTAAACTAGCTTGACTCTGCATGTGACTGGCCATGTGAAAGGACATGTTCCCGCAGTCATGTATTTGGCTTGCAGCTGTCCATAGATACCCAGCTATCTGGATTTGTAACAAATGAAGAGATATTAATTGCTTAGAGATGTGTTTTAACTATGGTAAGTGGGCATAAGTTGTTAAAAGAAATATGCTCATACAACACATGGACTTTTGTAGACAATGGCGCCCTCAAGAGGACCTTTTCCATCTATCCTAATTACTAGCCAGGCTGCATCAAGACGGGGGCGCCGGGGGGGGGGGGGGCTTAGTCACATCCAAAGCTGTTCATGGCTTTTCTTTCTCCCTACCAGCCAGCCCAAAAGAGAGGAAGGAAGTCATGTCCCTCATCACCAAAAAACCCATCTGACTCCCTTTTCCAGATGTTTCTGAGATTGGGAATGGACTTTGTTGCTGTTTTCACCTTTTTCAATATTAGGTCTTCCCTGGATCACACAGAAAGCTGACATGCATGTTACGTTGGCATCATGTAATAGTCATGTCATGGGCACTCGATTGCCCAGAACACCTTGTAATAAGCAGTTAATGTGAATTTTCTCAGGGCCCAGTACATTTCTTTAAATTAGAAGCATTAGGCTAGATAAGCCTATATTCCCAAGAGAAACCCTGTTATCTGGCCAAGGTCTAATAAACAAGTACCAGGCTCTGTGTACTGCTTATTTTATATACTGCATTCCTTAGATAAGAGTTTGCTGGAACAGCCAGGTCATCTCCACCCCTAATTTCTCTTAACTGACAGCTTTGGGCATTTTCTAGGAGGCAGAGAGGCATGTTTAAAATTTATGGCACTGCTAGATAGACCTGGCTTCTGCTTGGGACCAGGAGTGCAAAGATGTCCAGCTCAGAATTCCTGGATGGCATCCATCATACATGGAAAGCCTGTCATCTAAAGGGATGTGTTTGCTTATGAATAATCTGCATCCATATTTAATCAACCTATTTGTAGTCCGGAAAAGCATTTACTACCTGTAAGATGGCTTTGCTGGGCTAGGTCCCTGGGGTAAATTAGCTTGAAAAATGAACCTTTCTGTGCAGAAAGTAATCCACTGCTGTGCTGCTGATGGAGAGGGCTTTCTCTCGTGTCGTCCTCAAACAATGGAGCAGTTCCCCTCCAGAGATACAATTGGCCCCCACTTAGTTGGTGTAAATATGCATTTTTAATTTAGCCTTTTATGTGATTTTTATTGTTTTTAATGTTCTGGTGGTATAATTGTTTTCAGTTGATGGCTTTTTAGCAAATAAGGCAGTATGTAAATGTTAATAATACAGTTAGGGGCTGTTAAGGAAAGGATTTGAGTCATATACATTTTAAATCATGCATGAACTATTTATATGCAGTCCACCTTTGCTCAATGTCTGATCTTGCTTTCTGCCTTGTACTTGTTTACCAGGTTAGCAGTGACAAATAACAGTATAACTGGGCAAGGGTTGGTTGCCCTTTCGGAATCAATGAGAATAAACCTTGTTCTTTCCTATATCTACATTTGGGGAAACAAATTTGATGAAGCCACCTGTGCGGTAAGTTTCATGTATCTCCTCACAGTCGTCGTCGTCCTGTGATCAGGCCTATGTAATTGAGTAGAAAACCAGTTCTGCTTGAAAAAAGGAAGAAAAACGTTGTCGAAAGGGCTGGTGTTGCTGCCACAGTGGGCAAAGCCAAGCCTGCTACATGCCACGGTTTGTGGAGCAGCAGTGGCGGCAACACCTTGATCTGGCCTGCTCTGAAGTGAGGATGAGAGTTTCTCTTCCCATCCAGTGCTGCATGGTGCCACTGCTTGCTGCCCTTGTGTTTTGCTCTGCCGTCATTCCTGTTGCGGTGGCAGCTGCTGGGACTCACTGCTAAGATTGCTTCTGTTTGAAAGAAGACAACACAGAACATAACTAATGTGTTCCATGAGGTTTCCAAACCCACTTATCTCTCTAGCACCCTGGTGCCTTCCAGAAGGTTTAAACTATAGCTCACATAATTCCTGACCATTTGGTGGCATGCTATCTGGATCTGATGAGCAATATGGCCCAGAACAGGGAGTTTTCCCTACAAAGTATACACAACGTAAAAATCCTAAGTGATCAGATAGTGGATGTATCACATTATGTGAAGAGAAGGGCAAGATTAAGGATGGGCACAGAGATGCTTGCTAGGGAGAGAGGGTTTCTTCCCTTCTCTCTCTCCCTTTAATAACTGTATGAATAAAGACTTCTAGCCCTTATGAGAGATCCTACGTGGATAATACAGTCAAAACTGATACAAGGTTTAAGAGTATAACATTTCAAAACTGGAGAAGACAAACCTGAGAGTATAAGCCAAAGTAAAAAAGATGATGGGATTGATGTGGTTTGGTTTAGTTTGTAAAGCAGCGGTCCCCAACCTTTTTGGCACCAGGGACTGGTTTTCAGGAAGACAATTTTTCCATGGACGGGGGGCAGCGGATGGTTTCCGGATAATTCAAGTGCATTACATTTATTGTGCACTTCATTTCTATTATTATTGATTTATTATGGTGTCTATGCAGTCAAGCCTCTCTGCTAATGATAATCTGTATTTGCAGCTGCTCCCCATCACCACCTCAGCTCCAACTCAGATCACCAGGCATTAGATTTTCATTAAGAGCACAACCTGTGTCCCTCGCATGCAGTTTACAGTAGGGTTCACGCTCCTATGCTAGCGCTGGGGAGTGTCTGCAAATACAGATGAAGCTTCACTTGCCTGCCCACTGCCCACCTCCTGCTCTGTGGCCTGGTTCCAAACAGGCCATGGACTGGTACCAGTCCATGACCTGGGGCTTGGGGACCCCTGCTTCAAAGGGCAGGTGTAACTATGGCGTGATGTTGCATAGGATGAGGTCTGAAAGAAAAGGGTTGATCCTTTCTCACACCATTTGTTTCCTATTTGAATCCCCTCTCCTAAGCTGCAATTTGCTCTGTTGGGAAAAGGTGCTTGGGGCTGGGGGAGGGCTGGGACTGGGATTGGAAAACTAGTTCCTGACTCAATTCACTCCCCCAGTGTTGTAGCCTATCACAGCTTCATTTGCCCTTTTGAAAAACAACATCTGGTCATGTCTACGCCAACATCTTTCTTTTGACCCAAAGTCAACCTTTGTATTTCAGGCATATGCAGAGTTACTTCGTAGTGGTCGCCTGAAGCCAACAGGTACAGATGTTCAGCCATATGAAGTGGATGGGCACACGTATCTTGCTGAAGTCTCCCATGGCCTGAAAAGGCATTACTATTGGACGCCCAGTTATGGAGAACCTGATAACAAAGATGCCAATGCCTCTCTAGCGATAACTCCCATTGCAGAAAACCTGTGATCATCTTGGGATAGTTTTAATTTAAAAACAATTGTATATAGTTATTCAGAGAACTGATTTTTTGAAATACATTTTGAATCTTAATCATGACATCAAATCACCATAGGAAACCTTTTTCTTCCTACAGTTGGGTTCCAGTCCGGCAACAGGTAATCTTTAGTTATAATTGATTTGTCCTTTGCTTTTACAATAGTTCTGGACCATGCTTACAATTTTAACTTCATTGCACCACAATGATCAAGATTTGCTGTGATGATACAAAAGGTCTTCTATATAGAGTTGTACTCAGGAAAAATGATATCTACTTGAAAAGTAAAACCAGTCTTAAGGTATGTTTCTTTGTGATATTATTTGCATCAGTGTATTTCAGAATCAATTAAAAGATTCACCCAAGAAACCATTTTTGTCAGTGCAGCAGGATGAGATTTGCAAATCATGACTACTAGGGGGAAAAACACTTTGTAAAATATTCTGGCTATTTTGAAGTAAAAACATGAAAATCAGCCGCACATGGAAAACAATCAAATGCAACAATGTAGGCTTAAGACAGGTTATTTAATGTTTTGTTGCCAGGTTATACAAAAGTTTTAAAACTCATTAACACCCACTGGCCAGGTTCAGGTGCTTTGTCACAACTCCACTGGGTGTTGCATTTTTGGATGGTTCTCACATGCACCACTGATGCTTTAAATAACCTATGGTGAGTCTGGCATGTTATATGAACCACAACTTTGGGTTTTGACATGCAAAGGCATTGGATTTCTGCAGAACTCCAATTGCAGCAGGAAGTCCATGGCCTTGACTCAGTGTGTGCATTATGTTCCTGTTTATACTAGCTCGAAAACTATTCCTTCTGTGCAGTTCTAGACTATGTGGTGGGAGCTTATGAAGGTGATGAGCTCAACTTCTGAAGTCCTTAGGACCAGTATGAGGATCTTAGTTGCAGCATGCTCTGTGTACCCTGGAGTCCATGTGCTAAACTACTGGCTGCCGGTGGACTAGTTCCTTTGTCCACATGCACCAGCTTATTCCTCTTATGTTTGGTTTACTGTCATTTAATATGTACTAAGGAAAAGTATTGCATCTGTGGGCACCATGAGCATTCTGTCTATGGTGGCAGAACAGTGACAGCTCCATCACCTACACCAATCAGCCCTTGCAGTTGTTTATTCTGGGTGAACCAGACCACAGGCAATGTCCTACTCACCCTTCCATCAGTTTCTTGAGGAATGGGAACTGCATAACAAACCAAGCAAGAGTGGTACAATTTAAATAAAGTGCATCATTTAGCTCAGAGTGAAATTGCAGCATTCTTGTTTTTTTTTCAAGTTTCCAGCAAACCAGTGTCGCTCAATAGCTTAAAAAGGCTGTTCGAGTGAAGACAACTACTGTTGCTTCACTGATGAAAGGTATTATGCACTCCCCAGCTATTGCTTAGTTACTCAAATATTGCTCCAGGACAAGGCTTTTCCAAATTGCTTCTCCCTTTTAGTTACTTAAAACTGCAATGTAAAGAGCAAAGAAGTGCTTACAAAACAAGTTTTATTCAAGTCTAACATAAAATATCGCAAGCTAATTATGTACATAAACTCTCACAAGGAAGTATAAAAGCGGGGAGGCGAGCTATACACATACATCTGTGCAAGAACAAGAAAAAATGCTTTGTATGTACAGAAGACTTCAGAAATAAATTAGAAGATAACTCACGAAAGCACCTCAGAAAATATCCACAATCTTGTAATTGTTATGCTGGCTAACCTAGTAGTAACATTCCGAATTAGAGCTTAAAATATGAAAATACAAGGTTTAAGAACATTCTCTTCCCTTGTTAAGGCAAAGCATCAAAGCCTCTGTATGTTTAACAGAGCAAATGATGTGCCATTGGATGGTTATTTGTATCAGAATTTCAACTGCATATCCCTTTCATTCTGAAACAAGGTTAGGAATAGTAAACACCACACCAATGAAACCCAACCTGATACCCTTCTGATGTGTTAGACTACAACTTCTATAATCCTTGACCAGTTTTACTCCATGGAATTGATGGTATTGCAATCCAACACATCTGGAAAGATCTATGTTGGTGAAAGCTGCTATAATACATAAAGGATGCAAGTAACATACCTGTGTTACTTACCAGAATCAGAATCTTTCTATCAATATTTTAATACGAATATAGGTCATGATTTATTGAATGAATATCTTAAAGAAGACAACCCAAGATGCCTGAATTCCACCAAAAACTTTCCATTTGGAAACAAGGTCTATTCAATTATTGCTGTAATAGAGTTCAGCTCTCAGAGCTTGTGTTGTGCATGAAGAAAGGGGATCAAACAATGGTCTCTAGAAATCTTACATACAAATGAGTTCCATAAAGTAAAATATCTTTATAAATATTAAATAGCTAGGTAAGGTCTAATATAAATCTAAGAACAGAGTTTTTGAAGTCAGAAACAGTTTTTAAAAACACACAAACATGTGAAACATTCATATGAAATACTAAACATAGTATACTAAAAGCATACCAAACAGCACATTTTGCCCAGAAGATTAATAGTGCGAAGAAATACATCCAAAGCTAAACCTCAAAGTTCTTCATAACTGAGAGATAATTCAGTTTGTGTTAAGAGAATATGGTATCACAAGTACTCGGGAGTATTATAAGAAGCCTGTTTTCAAATTTCCCATATCAGAGCAAAATGCTAATAGAAAAAGGTATATGCAGAAGAGATACACTCATATGCAGCTGCTTCGAAAGTACAGCATTTCTGTGCACCCCCACTCTTAGAAAACATGTAATGGGCAGTTTGGAAAAAGGTGGTCAGCAAACATACAGGTAACTCAATTCCATCCTTTTTCTGTCCAGCTGCAGCTAAATAAGAGATGTGCTACATCAGAGCGGGTTATATATTCAGGTGACGGATGAGGGGATAGTCAAGGCAGAAACAGGTGCAAAATCCCCTATTGTGCTGAAGTCTCTGGACAGAGGCCTAAAAAGGACACCAGATGCAGCAATATGGGTCAAACTGACCCACACTACAGCTTTTCTTGAAGGAGATGATGATGATGCAAGTACTCTGAATTTAGACAAGCATATTGGGCTTAGACTATAGAAAAAAGACTGGAGACACCTTCAAACTTGTCCCCTATTTTAATTTACTTCTGCCCATTTTATGTCAAAAATAATAAAATATTCTGAAAACATGGGAAAACTCACAATTGCAAACCTTATGCTTTGCATATTAAAGGTTCCCAGTTGCACAGAGTGGGCGTCTCCAAAGCAGCAGCGCTACTGATTATCTTGTGTCCCATGTCTCCTAGGCTAAGGGAACTAGCTGGGGAGATGCAGGAACAATAAAATGGTAAGCCACTTCGGGACAGTTTCTAAAAATTATTAATGAAACGAAAAAAATAATAATGGCCAGCCTGATACAGAATATTGAAGGAATCTGACTTTTGTTTTCTATGGAAAGCAGAGCCATGTTATTTCAGAAATTTTGCTAGTGGCAATGATGGGGAGCTACTGTTTTAAAAAAAAATCAAATATTCCTTGGGGGCATAGGAAGGGCTGCACGATACATATTCTAAGTGCTTTGTAACTGCACTCCTTTTCATCCTAACTCAGTGGAAAGAGCAAAAGAGGTTAACCTTGCATTTGACAACTCATCTGGTAGCCTTAGGTGATCCAAAATTTCATACAGGTGAGTAAATGGAATTACATACCACAGTGAGTGAGGAGGTGGGAAAAGGGTCTGATTGCACACTTTCTTCTCCACCAGCCTGCTTGGTTTCAGTATGGTTGCAAGGGAAAGAAAAGCTTTTATCTGCAACCAGTATGATGATACAGATTGCTAATCTCTCAACAGGACAGGAACTATAGTGGGTTTCTCTTGGTAGTAAGCATTCCAACAGAAACTGTAACAAAACTGTTCCCTTTTTCTAAGCAGGAATGTCAGAAAGTTAGGAACAAAATGGGAACAGAACATCTGATAATCATGTGTAACCCAAGAAACAATACAAGGCAAAAAAAAAAAATGCCTTATGAGATACATGGGTGTTCTAGAACATTTAAGTGCATGGCAAGAGCTACTTCAAAACACATCACAGCTTCTTAAAGTGAGATGCAGAACCGTTTTCAGCCAGAAGCCAAAATCTGAGTTCAGAGAAGCTCTAGGCAGTCATATTACAGTGGTGACTAGGGCCAAAAACATCCATATATTTTAGTTTACAGCTGTTACTGCTAAGCCTTGGGAGAGGCATCGCATCCTTTAGAATGGGGAGAAAACTGCACAAAAGCTGGAAAATCAAAGGAAAGAAGTGTAAATGTTTAGGGAATCCCAGGGGGACAGACTGGGACCCAAGGCAAGCAGGATTTGGCCCCTAGACCTGAGGTTCTGCACCGCTGCCATAAAGCTTCCCTAAAGCCAGTTACCCAAGAACAAACCTAGCCCCTCAGATCTAACCCTAGGAATCCAAAACACAGTATCCAACAGCTGCTCACTCAGGAGGTTGTACATTTGCCACAGTTCAACCAGAAAGAGAATGCCAGGGAAAAGCCAAATGGCAGTGGGTGTAGAGTTTGCCTTCCAGATGAGAACTTTTTTTTTTTTTGCTTAGCCATTATGGCATAGTTGAAAGCTTCTAGGCAAACTTTGCTGAAATCTCAGAATGTGCTGAATCACAAAATAAATTTCCAGACACAGAGGTGGAGTTTTACTTGTCTGGGAGGCAAGACGATTATTTGGATTCTCACTTTCAAGATCCTGAGCTCCTCCCCCTCACAGCTAACATAGAAAGAACTACTCTGGCTGCTCACCCCAAGGTTGTAACTGAGCTTTAAAGGGGGAAAGGGGGTGCTACGGGGCAAGCAGGGGTTAAGGAGGGGTCAAGGCCCTAACACAGACTCCTACTGGCATCTCAGCCTCCTTTCTGGCACTTGAGGGCAAAAACAGCCATCTATATAAAATTCCTGGTGCAAAACATACAGTGGCCAATGCACCTCATTCTGGTCATAGAATGCAGGTAAATATGAGTTTAGAGGCACCGAGGGCATGAGCCCTAGCATTATCTGCTAAGCAAAGTAAGAGAAATCATACAAATTGGCTCAATTTACATATAGAATTTAGCCTTTTGCAGTAGATGCCTTGGGTTACTTTGGTGTAGGGTACACACAGTACTGAGTGTTACTATTACAAGGCAGCAAAAGTTGCCTCTTTCCATATCTCAGCAATTTTCTGAGATATTTAATCCATATGTAATCCATATCCATAATTTAATATGGATATTTAATCTATATCCATAATCCAAGATATTTAAGCCATATTTAATCAATATGGATTAAATATCTTGATTACACAGTAACAGCTTCTGCATGAACACTGAAAAAAGCATTCTACATCATTAATAGTCTGAGTATTCTTAAGGCAGTTGTGTTGAAGTTTTTACTGTAAAGAATAATTTGTTCTAGAAAATCTTGATTTTAGATGAAAAATTACAATCTTTTGTTCTAGATTAACAAAATATATGAAAGAAAAACTGCACTCCACAAGGTAGGTGCATTCTCACGTATTCCTACTTGAGAACAAAATGAAGTTCAGCTCAGATGTTCACTTCACCAAGATGCTTTCACCGCCAAAGTTTTGATTGCACACAGGGTGTCAGTACAACTGCTGGAGAACAATAAACTGAGGTTCTGAATATCCAGTGATAGTAGACCTCAGAAGTGCATCTGATGAAGGAGAGTGGCTGTCCGTGACAGGCAACAGCACTTGGTGATCCTCTGTTTCAATTGAGAGAGGTAGTGCCACATCCGAAGGCTTCACATCGATGGACTCCAGCAAAGGGCTTTTCTCATTTGGAATGGAGTCGTGATCATTGAAGGAATGGTCAATTGTGATGGGATCCAGAGGGTTCACAGAATCTTTTAAGGACAAAAGGGTGTTAATTCTTTAAGGCAGTATTTTGTAACAAACAGATAATTTATTAGACATGTTGAGAAGGTATATATGATTTTTCCTCCCAGATGCACTGAAGACACTCTTCACCTTCACTAGTCACCTCACAGTTTTTGAGTGAAGCTGAAGCATGACTGACAACTGGGAACTGATATTCATATTTTGGCGATAGGAATTATTGGCAACACATCATGACATCTACCAACTAGATGAGTGAGATACACAATTTCAAGGAATAAACATAGTCAGGATGGAGAGGAGGTATCAACACTGTTACCTGGAGGCCCATGTTTACAATTAATGAAATTAGTGCTAGGGCATCCAGTTTTAGAAATCTGTGTCTCAAGTAACAGATGCATTTATATATGACTCTGTCAGGATGCCTAAACACCCATGCTGTATAGATATTAATGCAATACCTCCTTTTTCAAACTCTTGATTGTCCAATTGGCTTTCCAAGTTATTTAGAAAAAATAAATGATTTTGAATGATTCAACAAGGAACAGTGGTGCAAGCATCAGACTTGGGCCAAAAGAGGGTAGAGTTCAAATCCTCATTCAGCCATGAAGCTCACTGGGTGACCTTGACTCAGTCACGATTCTCTCGGCTTAATTTACTGCATGGGGTAGCTGGGAGGACAAACTGGGTAAAGAACCATGTATATCATCTGGAGCTCATTGGAGGAGAGGCAGAATACAAATATAATGCTACTATTACATTGCAGTGAACTGTGGTTTTATTCTTCCACTTTGTAAGCCTCTGTAATAAATTTTAGATGAATACATATAGACTCAGAGCTCAAAGCTAGACAGAATAAAAGTCTACAACCTCTAGCATGCTATGCTGGCTAGGGCATGCCGGGAGCTATAAGCCTTTTCTCTGTCTAAACTTGCATAGATTGTACCATCAGTGATCTCATTCTCCAATTTGTCCATTCCAACATTTTAAAAATTTATCTGATTGATGCTCTTGAAAAAGGGTTGCAGTTCTTTCCTTAGTGGCATGTTCTATGCAGGGCTGGATTACCCATGGCCCATACTGAGGTATAGCCCTAAGAACACATACTTTTAATTCAGTGCAAGCTCAGCTGTACCAGACTGGAAAATGGGCCTCCTTGTCTTTGGAAAGAGATGCTCAATAGTTGGACTTTTGATCTGTTCTTCCATGGCTACCACATACTATTTTAATATGGCCAGTACTTACCTGTATGAACCTTTGTTTTGTGCTTCTTTAGATTTTTTATATCTGTGTAGGAGTTTCCACACAGGTCACAAGTAAATGGTCTTTCACCTTAAAAACAACAAAAACCTGCCGGTTAGATTTCATGGATGTGCAGTGCAATCCTATGTTTACTTCAGTGGAAGCCCATATGAGCTTAGTGGGGTATACTTTATAGTTAAGCAAGTTGGATCCAGATTTTCACTGGATAAACCACAGTGAAAGAAGTAGACTTTCCAACTCCCTCCTTCCCACAGCAATACCTCCAGTCCCTGAAAATGCTGGTGAATGAGTTCACATGATTACAGAACAAGTAACAAGCCACCCAAAACCTTGCAGCAACCATGGTTTATTTCCCTTGATGAACTGAGTAAATTGTGGCACTGGGGGCAATTCCCAAATTGTGTAGAGGGACTTTATACAGTCGAGCCCTTCTTCCAGCATAAGAAAGATCCTGAATTCAGCCTAGTATGATTAGGATTTAGTAATCTGATCACAGAAAAAAAGTTGTAAGTATGATCTATATTAAATAATCAATCAGAAATTAAATAATCCTTGAGAACTTGGTGGAAGTTCACACACACAGTAGCATAATTCAAATACATAATTGCATCAACTTCAATTGTTCTTAGGCAAGCTGTATGGTAATACTTTCCCCCAGAGAGTTCACTCATTTTCAAAGTTTTACAGTCAAAGATCACCATAGCAGCTTTAATGTAAGTGGGCACAAATCAGTGTAATGCAAAGGAACAAAAACGCTCTAATACGTTGCTTTTAAATAGTACTTTCCAGTGGTTAAAGTGCTTCACTTCCATTTTATTATTCTACTTTACATCAACCCAGTAAGCTATGGTGCCAATAATACTGGCCTATTGAAAAATGAAGGGTTGAAGTCGACAGAACAAACTGCTTGCCTAATATCACCTACCAAGACTATGGTTGAGGTGAGCTTTAAACCCAACAGCTACTCTGTCACTATGCTACACTATCTGGCATTCTTCCAAAGTGTTTACTCAGTCCTGCAATATGTCATGTCATTTATATCACTCTATACACACACAGCCCAGTACACAATCAGTAGTCCTTAGGGGCATTTTTTACTTCATGATAATTTAGTAGTAGGAGGGGTTCATTGTTTAATTCTACAAGTTTCCTTTGCGAACTCCCCTGCTGTTCAAAGGCAGGCAATGAGCCTTTCTGGTTGTGATGCCCAGTTGGAAGAATTCCTTCCTGAAGGAGCCTTGCCCTGTGCTATCCTCTTCTTTTTGGCACCTGGTTAAAAGCTTAGACATTTTGAAATACATTCATTTTAAAGTCAATTTTTTAAATGCTGGAATAGTATGTTCTCTGCTTTTTCACTTTTCTTTTGCATTTGTACTTGATCTTAAAATTTAAGTTCTACAATGAAAAAACAAGGTAACTGACAATTTATATTTTGAGGTACTTCATGAGAACTGTTCTGAGAGTTTTTCCTGAAGAATAGTGCATACAACAGTGAATTCCCTAATAAAATAATACAAAATCAGTAAAAGGAAAGTAAGATAGGAGGGTCCATATGTCACAATAAGGCCTGCCACTGTACTTTACTCCCACATCACAGGCTTCTTACATCACTCTCTCTGCCTATCCTGAAGCTCCTGTCAGAGTGAACTTCACAGCTAAGCCAGAGTTCACACAGCCAAACACAAACACTCTAACCTCTATACCACAAATTTCATATAGGTTTCCACAGACAAATGGCTAAATGCTATCCTACATATTTGGAAAATACCAAGCATCTTTGTTCCTTGGGCACCTGGAATGATTATCATCAGAACAATTATCTAAGAATTATGTGCATAGATCAGAATTTCCACTTCACACATGTGAAGACAATTAAAAAAGGAAGGAATTGCTGTCCCATTGGAAATACTAAGAATGAATAGCATGCCATCAAGTACCTACGTGAAATCAAGCAATGTTGAATATGCACATAACTACAAGCTATACAAGGACAAAGTAATATACAGGAAGATGTGGGCCCAAAAACTAACCTGTATGGGAGCGAAAGTGTTTGCTGAGTTCTCCTGAAGAAATGAAGCTTTTGCCACAAATCCCACATATATATGGTTTTTCCCCTACAGAGAAGGAGTTGATTAGCTCAGTATACAAGCTACTGATGGTGGATGTGACAGGCTTCCTCACAAGTTCATTGACACATCTAAGTCTCCCCATCAGAAGCCTTCAGAACAGATGAAGAATATTTTCTTCCAGCACTGACTTGAAAGGGCACAATCCTATACATCTTTAGACAGAAAAACGCCTACAACTCCTAGCATGCAGATGTCTACCCTTGCTTTAGAATATACAGAGTTCTCTTAGAACTGAGTCTGTACATCTATCCTAACAAGATCTTACTAGACCAGCAGCAATGCTTCCAGGATCTCTGAGCTTTGGCCTAAGATCCTCAAATGGATTTGCCTAGGACTTAATACATGCAAAACATGCAAGTACCATTTAACTTTATTATAGGCTTTTAAAGCCCACTATTGCAGATCTCATATTCCCACACAAACAAACAAGGCCAGTTCTCCCTAAAGTAAAATTAGGCAACTATGGCTGTGCTGGACTTACCATGAAGTGTTGTTCCTGCCAGACCAGAACAGACCCAACAGGAACGGGTTATTCACCTACTGCAAGATGAGTTAAACAACACTTGCATGCCTGCTACCCTACTGACCAAGACAGCTGTATGACATTTGTGTGGGGGTTTCCAGATCCCCCTGCTACCTCCATCTTCTTGGCTGGACCAACCCTCTGATGTCTTCCAAAGTCTACTGTATTAAGAATCACCTGTGTGCTTTCTTGAGTGTGTGATGAGTGAACTAGAGACTGCAAAAGCCTTCCCACAGGTGTCGCAGACATAGGGCTTTTCTCCTGTATGTCGCCGCACATGATATGTCAGTGTGCTTGCCTGGGCAAATCGCTGTCCACATCTATCACAGACATATGGCTTCTCTCCACTGTGTTTCCTAGAAGAAAGAAGTAGGATTTATTCTATGGGTGCACCAGCTTTTTTTTCCTCATGGCACCTTCTTAACCAAACCAAGTTAGTTGTTTTCCTGTCCTTTTTACGTGCCTGGCATGAATCTTCAGATTGCTGGAGGTGGCAAACTGCAGGTTACAGGCATCGCATTTGTATGGTTTCTCCTCTCCATGATGCATGCGGCTGTGGAAAACCAGCTGGCATTTCTGCGCAAAGCCTTTATCACAGAGTTTGCATTTGTAGGGCTTTTCACCTATGGAGACAAGTAAGCTGCATACTTCAACAGTGCCACATGAAGGATGAGATTTTTCAGATGCAAATCATGATAACAAACCTGACAGAAGGTTCAAAAATCAAGGAAAGTCAAAGACAACTTAAACAGCATGGTTTAAATTCAAGGCAACAGGGCAACTTTCCCCAGACTGATGTCCTCCACATCTGCTGACTGCAACTCCTAGCATTTCCAGTCAGTATGACCAGTGCTGTGAGCTACAGTGTAACTCATCTGGAGGACACTATTGGAGAAAGTTATAATATGGCCTGACTTGAATTCACTCAATGGTATATCCCAGTCTCTTAGCAATTATTACAGACTAATGGGGCATAAAGGCTTAGAATGAACCAGGAATGAGGAAGCCCTTGGTTCAATTCTCACTACAGCCATGAAGTCACTGGGTGACCCTTCAGGAACTTTTAACATTTAGCAGATGGTGGCTAATCAAATGTATTACTAATGTGAAATAAGATGAAGTTTCTCCAGTCATCCAAAGTAATATAGGTACTAGAAGTCCACAGAGTGCAGGAGGTGTCTTCCCAGAAAATAGTTTTGCCAAGTGTTTAGGAGTTAGATTCCAGGTACTGCCTTACTATTTAGTTTGAACATCTCAAAACTGGCAATGCTCTATCATCATGTTTAACCCTATGTGTCTGTCGTGCGTGCAGACTCAGAAGAGTCCTTGGCGCACGCACAAGAGGAAAAAACTTCCCATGAGAACCAGAGGGTTGATGAAGATGTATTTCTGGTGCCAGCAGAACAAGCTTCACTCCCCAGCTGCACAGATGATGGGAATGAAAGTACAGGAGATAAGGAAATTCAGGGAGATGCCGAAACAGTAGACCATACAGAGACCAATTTAGTGGTTGCTGAGGAAACAATTGCACCATGTGATGATATAGAGGATGGGAATTTAGGAGATAATGTAGTTGAAATGGTTGAGGATGCTCGTTCCCGCAGACGCACATGCAGATTGGGACAATTAGAACTGAGACTGACTGAGCGATGCAGGGGGAGAAGCCATACTGACCCGCCTACAGAAGGACAGCCGGAAGAATTCAAAAGCACCATATAAGTTGAACTTAATTAGAACAAAAGGACAACTTCCTAGCATACGTGACTGTAACTGAAATACTGTGTAGAATAAAGACTTCTGTAGCATCAACTGGAGTGATGCTTTCATTGGGAAGGAGCGTCAACTGCACCACAGTGTCTCCAAAAAAACCTGTCAATTTAATTCCAACAGCTGTTCAGGAGTTCCTCTAAATTTACAAATTAAGATCAATATGTGCAAATCTGAATTTCCAAAATGCACCCAAGCCAGAAAACCACAACAAAATAACTAACCTTGAAGATGAGTTAGCTTTGGAAAAATTAACAAGATGTTTTGGAAAAACCTCCTCAGAAGTATGTGCCTTCAATTATTATCATAAGATGAAAGGAAATGTAAAAAGCAGACATTACAGTTATTTGTTTAAGTAATTATGAGAAGCACTCAATTAGGAACTACACAATGCAGCTCCCACAACAAGCTATTTTAAAAGCTTGCCAAACAAAAATAAAATGGCATTCTCTTTCACATTTTTATTGTGACAAAGTCAAAACATAATATGTTCATACCAGAGCAAGATGGACAGCTTGTGTACCACAAGCCAAATACATCATTTATTTGTGTATTTATCCATTACATTTATATCCTACCTTTTTCCTGCAAAGAAGCTTGCTTGCACTATCATGCTCACCCTCATCCTCTCCATTTTATCCTCACAAAAATCCTGTGAGGTAGGCTAGGCAAAGAGTGGGCAACTGATCCAGAATCACTCTAGTTAGTTTCAAGGCCAAGTGTGGAACAGAACCTGAATCTCTCAAGTCCCACCACAACTACAGTCATCCTGCCAGCCATATACTGAGGGCTAGAAGAGACTAGTGAACGCTCAAAACTGTTACAGTACTATGGCAGCAAGAATGAAGTACCCTAGTAAGGTACCCTATACTGCTGCTCAGCCACAACTATGCAGGCCTGCATTACAGGAAAAGGGAACAAAAGCACAATCAGACAATCCATGCCTAGCAAGGGCTAGAAACTTAAGGCCTTATACCACATTAGAATATTGGTCTGTCTAACTGAGAAGGTAACCTGTTATCCTCCAGATGTTTTGGACTATAACCTCCATAAGCCCCAGGCAGTAGATCCGATAGCCAGGGTTTATGGGAACAAATCCATACAACATGGTGGTTGGTCCACGGTTTCAGCCAAGAGTCTGTTTCAGTCTTACCGGAAGATACCAAGAATTAAACCTGGGACCTTCTAAATGCAAAGCAACTGAGTTTAAATAATTATTGTGTGGTTTGACTAATTATTAGTATATACAGATTGAGAGAGGGGGAAGAACTTGCCTCACATTGCTGCCCAGGAAAAAATGTTATAATAAGTAAAAATAAAATATGATAATGACAGAAAGTAAAGTGCTACCTTCTCTAATATGGTACCCTCCAGATACATTGGACTACAATACCCATAATACCCCAAAGCTGTCTCACTGACAACACTACCTTCAGCGACCAAGAGCAAGTACCAATCCACAATGTGGGGAGAGAAGCCTTATCCATGAGTATGCGGGCCTTTCCTGTTCACTTTCCCAAGAGGCTACTTGATTCACAAAGCAGAGAGCCTACCTGTGTGAGTTCTTACATGCGTTTTCAGCTGGTTGCACTGGGTAAATGCCTTCCCACAGAGTTGACACACATATGGTTTGACTCCTTTGTGGATCCTCATGTGCCGCCTCAGACTGCTGGCTTCAGAAAACACCTTCCCACAGGTGTTACAAATTGGCTTGGCCTTGGAGTATTTCTGATCTAGCTCCTCTCCAGAGTTCTCCAACTGATAAGCATTCTTGTCACTGCTGATGTTGGACAAACAGTGCTCTTTCAAAGCAAAACCTTGCTGTGCTTTTCCCCGTTTTGGTTTCAGAGACATGGTCTGGATGAGGATCTCCTGTGCAGCAAAGGTTTCGCTCTCCACCACAGGCATAAGGTGCAGCTCAGTGTTATCTCCACCTTGGGCAGCTTGCTCTGTTATCTCTGTAGCTAGTTTATTTGCATCAAGAAATAACCCCACAGCAGAGTTCTCCACAGCTTCACTTGGATACTGGACAGGTTTATCCACCTGGTTTTTCAGTGAGCTGAATACCTTCTTTCGCTTTTTGGTTTGAATAGATTTTTTTTCTGGGGTTATTGTTAAGACTGGAGACTGAACTGGATCCACTGAAGGGGGATCCAGTTTCTCTTGGCTGTTGTAGTCACGAAGGGTTAGGAGACAAGTCTGCTGGTTCAGTGCAATATTCCCAGTGATACTAGAGGTTTCTGTTGAAGAGGGATTAGCAATGAAGGCAAAGTCTTCCATTTTTATCTTACATTTAGCAACTACCTCCTCCACTTTGAGATAGTCAGCAGCCTGATGTATTTCTTTAACATTCCAACTGCAGGAGGGAAAGTTAAATGGGAATGTTCCAGTTTAAGAAAATCAGCCATTACTTTCCACGCAATATTAACCTATTTTTTCATGTTTACATTTCAAGGCAACTTGCAAGATTAAAACAAAATTACACAAAATAAAAAAATAGCAAACAAGCATAAAAAAGAACCAGGGAGAATAACCAAGGATTCAGTCCTACACACATTTACCAGACAGTAAGTCTTAACAGAGCTTCTCAATAGACCGGACTAAGATAGTGCTCTATCATCAAAGCAGCAAATGCCTGCCCGCCCGCCCGTTGAGATCTGCGGGAGGCCCTTCTCCAGGAACCCTCCGTGAAGGAAATTAGGAGGGTAAGCACTCAAAGGAGGGCTTTCTCTGCGGTGGCGCCCAATCTATGGAATGTGCTCCCCAGAGAGGTCCGCCTGGCACCGTCGTTATTTGTTTTTCGGTGCCAAGCGAAGACCTTTTTATTCAAACATTATTTTAATTGTTAATATTATTTATTTTATTCTTTGGCCAGGGCAACTTAATTTATACTGTTAAATTATATTGTTTTATATGATGTTATTTATGTATGTTTGTGAGCCACCCCAAGGCTTCGGCGAATGGGGCGGCATAGAAGTTCCATCCATCCATAAATAAATAAATAAAAGTAACAAAGGTGACAAACATTAACCACAATTTAAAGCACAGAAAAGGACAGTCTTTGCCTGGCACCAAAATATACTTTAAAACAGGTAGAGTGGCAGTTCTACAGTTTGGGTAATGACACTAAAATGGCCCTCAGTCCAGGAGCTACATATCTCAAATCAGAAGATGGTGACACCTTCAGACGGGTCCCTGGAATCAGTTAATTAATGATGAAATGTGTATGTTGTTAAAGCAGGAACCCTATCTTCTCCTAGTCATCAGTTATCCAGTCCTACCAGTTATCCCAATTATGACTTCCCTCTCATAAATTCCTTGTTTACTACATGGAAAACTAGCCACTTAAAACAGGCCCAAACAACTGGCCATGCATGTATCTTACCACTTAAGATATGTAAGTGGAGAGTGACTTACTCCTCTACTGCTGAAGCAGTACCAGAAATTAGCTTCCAGTCACCTTCTAATCCATCAATTACATCCTTCTGGGGGCAAGGGAAGCTTAGAATGGACACCGTACTCTTAAAAACTGAGGTACTTGCCTTCTTTTATGTTGCATTGTAAGATTTGGCTTATGAAATGCCGTTAATTGGTAGAATGAGGTCCTGGGAGATAGCAACAGCAACACTACCAGGGTCCATAGAGCAGGGCCTGCTGGTGGCTCCTTTACTTGCACAGTGACATTGGCAAGTTCCCCTCTCCAGCATCAAAGAAGCCAACCTTGACATTTCATCAGCTGGTTGCTGGTCTTTAATACTTCATCTGGTAGTTTTTTCTGTTTCTATGGTAGCTAGTATCTTTTTTCAGATGTTTTAATGTAAGGGTGGAGAACCTTTTTCCAAGGGTCAAATTCCATTTTGGTAAAGCTCTTAGGAATCACAATCCAGGGTAGGTGGGGCAAGAAGCAAAAGGGGTGAAATGAATACTACCAGAGTATTTTAGCTTAGGAAAAGTATTTCAACCTCTTAGATTGAGAAGAAAACTGCACAAAAGCTGGAGAGCTACCAAACGATTGGTGGTTGTGTGAAAGGAGGCAGGACTACAGGAGAAAAGCCTGGCTACATGGAGGACTGATCTGCAATGCCAGGCAGGTTGGATTTGGCCTCTGGGACCAAACATTTTAGTAAATTCTGTATACCACCCTGGGATTTTGTACTGAAAGGCAGTACACATACATTTTAGCAACAACAATATATTTTGCATATGCAAATTCCTTTAGTGGTGAACCTTGTTTTTTTGCAACATAACTTCGCTTATGTGCATTGAATACAATTCAAGGGATATATTTATTACATTCTCTGTAAAGTGTGTGAGTACAATGCAAAGCAATCTCCAGTTTTCCTGTATTACCTGTCAAGGTTTAAGTCTCCTGTATATATGAACTCCAGAAGTTTCTGAAATCCATCGGCCTTCACTTGATTCTGATCCAAAAATACATTACTCTCCGAAGTATCCCTGTAAAAAGCCCCAAAGTACTCGCTAAAGGAAGCCAGAACATTTCGGTGAGCTTTGAACTGGAATTCACCAATAACGATGGTGCAGTCACAAAGGAAGCCCACCTCTCGTTGCTTGTTCAGCCTCTCCAGAAGATGCTCACAGTGATGAGAACACTGCATTTTGGGTAGCAAGATGTAGCTTCCTCACTTTGGCCTGAGAAGGCAAAGGAACACATTTAGCACCAGTGTGCCAGGCTAAGAGCAGAATATAAAAGCGCCATGGGCTCCATCCAAAAGTTATCTTCTAAATGGTTGGGAAAAGGGAACAGACAATGAACTTTGATCAAAACACAATGCTTAAAGAAAGAGTGTCAAAAATTATTCTAAAAGAATCATCCCAATAAGCAGTTTAGGCTTCCCCAATCTGGTGGAATTTCAACTCGCTTCAGCTCCAGGCAGCATGGCCACTGGTCAAGAATATTGAGAGGTGTAGTCAAAGATACCTAGAGAACACCAAACACGGAAGGATGAAGGAGACTCTTTCACAAAAATGGAAGGTATTTAGTAGAAATTAATACCACAAGAAAGCGATTAATACAAATAGATGTGCATGTTGTAAGATATCCTCTACGGAACATTTGTCTCTTCCATCTGTGGAGCGTAGTGAGTGGGCATGCAACCCTTGGGGATGGGGCCAAATTTAACACTTGCATAGGATTGCTTCTTACATGCAAGTCCATTCTCACAGGATTCCTTGTAACATGCAAATTGGGCCACAAGTTCACATCCACCCCCATGTACATCAACAACAAATCCAAGAGGGTTACAGCCACGACTGAGATCTATCTTGTCTGAGAAGTGTGGGCCCCCAGCTTCCAGAGACAGTGTCTGCTACAGTGCTCAAAATGGCCTTCCGGTTGTTTGCAAATACTATTAGCCGTCATCACCGGCTAGTGTTGACAGGGCTTGCAGTGCAGCATCTAGAGAACCAGAAGTTGCTCACCCCAGCCGAGACTTATGTCAACAGTGAAAGATGGGCAAGCCCAGAATCCCTTCTCTTTTCAGAGGCTGTGGCTGCTCTTTCAACAACCTTGAAATTAAATATAACTCATATATTACAAGCTCTTAAAAATGCACAAACATACCCATGCCCTCCTCCCCACACCCACAAGCTTTCCTCCTCCTGGCAGTGCTATTCAGGGATAGGCAGTGATTGTGTTTCTATTTTACGAGCAAGGCTGGCCTAGTGGTTAGAGAAGGGACATGGAGAATGCCAGGGTCTAGTTCCCAGTTAGCCATGATGCTGAGTGACACTAGGCCAGTCACTGACTCTGAGCCGAATCTACCTCACAGGGTTGTTGTAAAGATAAAATGGACCATAAGGAGAATTGCAGGGGGAAAGGCTAGATGTAGATGTTGTAAATACATAAACCGTTCGAAGTCAGAAATCTTTACAGATCCGACCGTAAATCATCATTCTGCCCACACCTTTATACGTGGGACAACCTTTCAAGTCCGCTCGAGGAGTTTGGTTTGCTGAAGGGGGATTCTTCCCCCGAGCCTTGGACACACAGGCAAACGCCGCCCACAGCGATTGGCTCCGGCCGGCCACACACGCCGCCTCGCTCGCCGCGCGGCGCAGTCCCTCCCCGTCTCCTTCTCTCCGTCGTTGTTGTCACCCTCTCCACACTTCCTTCCCTTACCTCTACTTTGTGCGTCTTTCCTCTTCCCTTCGTCGCTCCCCCCACACAAGCCAAGTTGGTCCCGTCCAACCGCTCCGTCATCCCTCCCCTCAGAAACCTTGGGCAAACACACCTGGCAGGGACAGGGGTGGGGATGCAGACACGAAACCTTATTCACCTCAGGCCGCCATTTTATGATGACGCGGCTCACACCGCTTCCTTAGCGGGTTGGCGGCGGCTGAATTCTCACTTCCGTTTTCAATCAACACCGGCAAGGAAAGGGTGGCGAAGGGAATGTGAGGGATATCGAGGGGCGGGACAGAGTTAGGTCCGGCTTTGGAAACTACTCTTCCCTTGATGCTTAGCGCCATAAACTAAGGAACCAATCCTGTGCCTCTTTAAAGTAAGACCAAAAGTCCTACAACTCCCAGCACGCCCCCAGCCAGCATTGCTGGGGGTTGTAGGACATTTTCTTGTTGAGCCAGAGAAATGCACAAGATTGTACTTTAAGCGTCTTAGCTTGCTTCCTTTGGTAAAGCATGATGGGGCGTGTAGTTCTATTAAGGTTAAGCTTTTGGGTGCCAAGCGCACTCAGAAATGTGTAGGAAACTGCTTTTGCAATATTCCACTGGACTTCTCTGGCATGTGTGCTGTACCTTGCATTTAAGGGAATGTTGCTACTCTCCAAAGTTGCAAGTATTATTACTTTTTGTGATGCAGTGCCGGCAAGGAGTCCCGGCAAAAAACTAGAACTGTAATTTGCACTTACAACTAAATATTTAAATACTACTGTGCATGAAACGTTATCAAATTCAGAGTGCAATTCCACGCATGTTTTTACAGAAAAATGTCCTATAGCTCGTAGCAGTCCCGGACCAGTCATATTGGGAGCTGTAGAACTTTTTTTCTATTTAAGCAGGCATAGGATCACGCGTTTAGCTTGTCTTTCTCTACCTTCTATATAAAGCGAAATATCAAAAACATATAAAAAAGCGCATCTTGCGCATAAAAACGCATAAATTGATTTCGTGCCATCCTCTCTCCTTCCACCCGTAAGAAGCCGATTTAAGCCCAAAATAAAGAGAGAGAGAGAGAGAGAGAGAGAGAGAGAGAGAGAGAGAGAGTGGACCAATTCTATGCAAGTTTTTCAGAAAGTCTTACGGCACCAGAATCCACGAAGCAGCATAGCTCTGTGAGTGAACACTGGGAGTTTTTTGTCTAAACATGCGCACGATTTCGCCCCTATTTACCTAAACATATATACTTTCTTGGGAATCAAGTAGATGCAAGAGTATACCAATTTATAATATAAACATTTCGAAATAAATAACTTGCACGTAAAATTGCAATCTGTTTCCGCCCGGTTTCGAACCGGGGACCTTTCGCGTGTTAGGCGAACGTGATAACCACTACACTACGGAAACTTAGATACTGTTTTCTTCGAAAGCATCTTCCATCAATCATGCAAGAGTAGGAACACCAAAGTGAAAGTTATAATTCCATTATTATTTCACAAGAATCTGCATAATTCCTCGCAAATTAGTCTGAAGACAGAAATACGCTGTGCTCCCGATATGCACTTCAACCCCCCCACCGCTTCAATTACCGTGATCGCTGATTATCTGAATAGTACAATACGTCACAGAAATATCTTACTTTTCTTCTTTAAAACAAATCAAGGTTTCGTTTTCTTATTTATTATTAATCCAATATATTAGCTGCTTTTCCAGTGCCCAAGAAGGCATTCAGTAAAAAGGAAAACAAAGTAAATTTGGTATATTTATTATGAAGTAGATTAAGTTCTTAAATGAAGAACGATTGCTACTTTCGAGATGCAAACCTATACATGCTTAGCCGAGAATAAGCTCCATAGTGAACACAGTTGGACATATTTCCGAAGAGATATGCATAACAATGGGGCTGTGAAACACAACTTTTCTCCATGCAAAGAGCGCAAGGGAGAAAAACAGATGTCTTCATTGTTTCCGCCCGGTTTCGAACCGGGGACCTTTCGCGTGTTAGGCGAATGTGATAACCACTACACTACGGAAACTTACATATAAAGAGATCGACCTTCCTCTTCCTCCAGTAAGTAAAATGACTGTATCTCATATCCACTTCTTCATTGATCAGAAAGGGTCTCTTCAAGGTATCATTTTGCTGTCAGGGAAAATCATAGCATCATCTACACAGCTCTTTCCCTCTCATTTTGCTTCTGTCTCTTCTTCTGGGAATATACAGCGTGTCCCAAACAAATTGACATTATTTCATAGTCTGACAACATAGCCAATTCTCACTCAAATGATCTCAAATTTTAACAAAATGTGTAAAAACGAACTAATGTTAGTTACGCGATGTTATGCAAGACATGCTACAGCATGGGTCCTCAAACTACGGCCCGCGTGACGGATCCGGACCGCCATGGCCTTCCATCCGGCCTGCCCCACCGTTCCCTGCCCGCGTGCACGGTCTCCGAGTGAGCAAGCCGCCTCTGCCTGCCTCCCATACACACGTGCTCGGAGATGGTCTTCAAGCAAGCAAGCCGCTGCCACGGCCTGCCGTACACGCGTGTTCGACGGCACCTCACCGACCCGCGCCCCCAGACACCGTGACGGTCACTGCAACCTTTCTACTGGCCCCCATTCAAAAAATTTGGGGACCCCTGTGCTACAGCATGTTTGGCAGGAGGTGGACTACTGACTTGATGTGTGTCGTGTCACAGGTGGTGCGCATACTGAACATTTGTGAAGCTTTGTGAAATCGGTTATAAAATCTACATCCCTTTGAATCTCTTGTTCGAATTTTGATAAATAAATCTGTTATTGTTCAACATGAAGCCTATTTAATTTCATTTGCCTAGGACATGTAGTTACTCAGATATTTACGTTTCAAGTAATGTCAAATTTTGGGGGACACCCTGTATCATATATGCATCACAATGACACATCGACTGGGGAAGAAAGTAGGCATAGTTATAATCTCATGCAAAATGCATTATCCTAATCCAGGATAATTCTGGAAATGGAAAAAAAGCATGAAACAGGGAAGATTGTACAATTCAAGTGGGTTGGATCCAGACTTACGTCATACTGAGATTAGACTCACTGAATTCAACAGGACTTGTTAGTAATATCCTAAGTCCCATTGTCCCATTGATTGATTGATTGATTACGTCCCCAGAGAGGTCCGTCTGGCGCCGTCATTATTTGTTTTTCAGCGCCAGGCTAAGACCTTTTTATTTGAAAAATATTTTAACAACGCTTAATATCTATAGGTTTTAATTGTGCAGCCAGGGTGTTTCCGGATTTTAATTGTATTTTGTATCATGTTTATTTATGTGAGCCGTCCCGAGGCTATAAGAGATGGGACAGCATACGAAAACTCTAAATAAATAAATAAATAAATAAATAAATAAATAAATAAATTTCTGCCTGTGGCCCCAATCATATATAGACACTTACCTAGAGGTAAGCCCCACTGAATTTAATGGAACTTGTTTGAGAATAGGCAGGTATAAGATTGAACTGCAAGTCTGGATCTAATCCTGTATTTGTAAAGGTTGTGTTTGGGATGTCCTCTTTTCCCAACCAAGTGAAAGCAAATTATTATTTTTGAATTACTTGTTCAACCTTCCCTCCTAAGAATAGATTCAGATATATCCTGTAGCCTGTGTCCTCTGAGCCCAATTCTGCGCTCATACTTCTGTATGAGGAAACATCTCTTATCTATCTTTACTAATCTCCACTACTGCGGAATACTGTGCCTATCACAGAGTATGCCCAGTCGTGATGATACGATTGAATGGGAGTTAACATGTGAAAACTCTTTAAGACAGGTGTGTGGAATTGTTAACCTTTCCAGTCCTTCCAAATTCTAGAATTCTCTTCCATTTACAACATCTAGAAAGCTAAGGCTATTCTTCTTTCAATTGAGAGACTAAGCAGAATATTTTTAAATAACTTTTCTTGAGATAAACAGTGGAGAGAGAAGAGTCATCCTTAAGCAGACATCACATCCTCTCATTACATTGCTCATCCTCCAGCTAAAAGGACAGCCATAATTTTAAGCTTGAGAAGCATGCAAGAGATACTCAAATTCTATGCATGTTTTCTCCTTCACTATCTCTCATTCAAACAGATATTCAAATCCATGTAAAGCTTGATGAGAAGGTATCATAGCAACATGCAAGTCACAATAGACTCAGCATCACAAGCCTGGGAAGATAGCTAGCCTGACTCTTCCCCCAGTATAATACAGGCCCACCCAGGGTGAAGATCCCTGAGCAGAAACACCCAGACACAAAGCCTTAATTCAAGGATGGATGACCTGCCACCAGCTGTGGTATTAGACAATGGCTCAGGTCTGCTCAAGGCCGGTGTTGCTGGGGACAGGGAACCACGTGTCATCTTTACCAACCTGATAGGACGCGCCAAGGCCAAGTCCGTGATGCTAGGTGCTGGCCAGAAGGACTTCTACATTGGAGATGAAGCTCAAGCCAAACGAGGGATCCTCTCCCTCAGGTGCTCAGAAGACACGGGACTATGAACCCTAGGGAACTGCTACGTGCTAGCTAGCCAACAAATGTTAAAACTGGTCACTGAGGAATGGAGGGTGACTGGGCAGGGCCAGCTCTTCCAAGAGGCAGACTGAGGCAGCTGTCTCAGGCAAAAGATGCTGGGCGAGTAGCTACATGGGGTTGGAAGACAGAACTGTGTGTGCAGTGTGGCTTGCCCTGCAACCTCCTAATCTAATTTGTTTCCCCCAGGAGTGTTGGGTGGTATTGGCCCATTGCTGGTATTGAAGTAAGATTCAGTTGCCAGTCTGGTCAGATTTGGTATAGAGAATTGGGGTGGGCGGGCCATTTTGTTCTTCGTCTCCGGCAGAACATTTATCAGCTAGCCCTCTATCCAGAGAACTGAAAGGCCTGGAAATTAGCACATGGAGGGAGGTTTGTGGTAGGTGAACTCACCCCACATGCCAAGTTGGGGAAGTTTACAGAGCAGGGACACAGAACCACAGGCCTGGGCTCCCATGCTGGCCCAACTGGAGTCCCCCATTAATGTCCTCTTCCCATAGTCCCATCCTCTTTAGCCCAACCACCAATCATTATGAAGTCCCTCCAACACCATTCTGAAAGGTTAAAATGCCTCTCCTAAGTCTCACTGACTGTCAGGAAGAGCTTTAAACTAAAATGCATTGGTATTCCTGGCATTTTTGACCTTACCCTTTTGCCTCTGGCACCACCAGGCACTGGCAGGCAACCCCCAAGAGCTCCTCTTAAATATAATTTGGCCATGGGCTGAAAGAGGCTCTGCACCCATGCTTTAGTGCTGCAGCAGGGAAAAGGGATGTTTAGATCAAATGGACTAATTCTGCTCATGAGTCACGATTGCCTATTATGGACAACAAAAGGCCCTGGTTAAATGGAAAAAGGAATCCTTTGACTGGGAGAGGACGAGAGGACTGTATTTCTTCTTTATTATTATGGGAAGAGGAAGAATCATAGACTAGTAGAATTCCAATAGAGTTGGAAGGGGCCATGAAGGCCATCAAGTGCTACCCCCTGATGTTGCAGGAAATAGAGAACTAGGGAGAAAGAAAAAGGAGAGAGAGAGAGACAGGGAGAAGAGGGAGATACAAATGGAAAGTGGAATGGATGGATGGAGGTGTGAGTGTGTGTATGTGTGAAAGACAGAGAATACAGGGCAAAATTTCAGACATTGGGCCAAACCCTGGCAGCCCTTTGGGATTCCCTGGAAGGTCATGCTCCCTTTTCCTTCCTACGTCCTGACAAATTTTCCTGATACATATACATGTATGTATCTACCCCGCCCCAAAAAAAGCCCCTGAAATACCTCTTAAGCTTCTATTACAAATAATAAGAGCTATATGTAAAACCTGCTGTAAAATCGCCTCATTCAGTGAACCTCTGGCCTAGCTTATCAGTGAAATGCAGTGATCTGAGAATTTCACCAAAAGGAAATTTAAGCCTTAGGCTGAAAGAGATTTAGAAAACCATAAAGCTGGAAGAGGCTGTTTAGGCCATTGAGCCCAAGCCCCTGCTCAGTGTGAGAATCCAGTTTAAGCATCTCTAACACAATGCTGTGCAGTCTTCCAGTCTGCTTCCAACAATGGCAATCCCTCCTGCATAGGCAGCTGATTTCATTGTATGACTGCTCGGACTCTTAGGCAGTTTTTCCTGATCTTCAGCCAAAGTCTGCCTTCCTGTAATGTAAGCCTGTTATCCTGTGGTCTTGGATGATAGATAACAGTGTGTGCTCCTCTTTTAGACAAGCTTTTAGATTCTTGAAAAATGTCTTTTCTCAAGGTTAAATGTACCCAATTCCTTCTATCTCTAGTTTCTAGGCCCCTTATAATTTTTGTTGCCCTTTTTGGAATTCATTCTAATTTATCTCACTCTTTCTTAAAATGTGGTGTCCAAAATTGGTCACAATATTCAACAAAGTGACATCTCACCTGTACAGTAGAATTATACTTGTATTGATACAATCTAAAATTGCATTCACCTTTTCTGCAGCCATATCACATTGCTGATTCATAGTCAGCTTGTGATTGACACCACTTTTCCATACATACTATTGTCAAGCCAAGTATTCCTTATCTTATGTGTGTGCATTTGATTTATCTTTCCTAAATTAAGAACTTTATGATTGTCCCTATCAAATTGCATTGCGTTATTTTCTGCTCAGTTTTCCAGACTATTTTTCATTTCATTTCTATCTTTGAAGGTATCAGCTATCTTACCCAATTTTGTGTCATCAGCAAACGATAAACATCCCTCCGCTTTCGCCTACTCATTAATAAAAAATGTTGAAAATTCCTTGGATCTGTCTTTTGAAGACATAGGCAACATTTGTCCCCCTTTTGCCCTCTGAAAAGATCATCAATGAGGGAAATAGTGGACAGATGCTCAGAACTTTTATTGGTAATGAAATAAATAAAACAGATGAGGTGCAATTTTCATCTGGATCTGGGGATTTGAAATTCCCTAGCCATCTAGGGATTTGGCATTAACAAACTGCACACCTACCCCTTCAGCTTGATTATCATGTATGGTAGACAGAACACAGATCTTCTTTTGGGAGAAGACTGAGCTAAAACAGTAGAACCGATCCAGCTTTTCTTTGTCACCTTTCAGCATTTTCCACCTTGGCTGAGTAGCTGGTCTATTATTACTTTTGTGTGCCTTCTACTCTGAACATATCTGATGAGGCTCTTTTTGTTATTCTTAGCATCCTTTCCCAATTTCAGCTAATTCTGAATTTTATCCTTCCTAACACCCATTTCTGCAATTCCAGACTATCTGCCTGCACACGTCCTTAGTCACCTGTCCCTCCTTTAATTTCCTATATGGGTCATTTTTTTATTCTCCTCCTCATTGCTAAACTTTTGTGCAGATACTTGGCTTCTTCTCTTGCCTTCCTTCCCCCACCCCCACAACCTTAATGGGATTGTTTCTGACTAAGCCATTAGTCCCTTCTTTTTCAAAGAACTCTCATTCCACTTGAATTCCTCTTCATTTTAAGTTTTCCTGCCAATGGAATTGTTTATGATAGCTGTACATTGATTAAAACCTGCTTTCCTGAAGTTCAAGGTACATGTTTGACTACACTCAGTTTTATTTTTCCTTAAAATCAAGAAGGCAAGCATTACAAAGCCACTTCACCCCAAAGTTTCTTCTACTTTCACCTCATCAACTAAGGTTTCCCTATTGGTCAAAATAAAATCAAGGATGACTTTTCCTAGTTCTTTCCCCTACAACCTGAAGGAGAAAATTGTCAGCAAGGCAAGCCAGGGATTTCCTGGAGAGAAAAAGCTTGGCAGAGTTCCCGCCCCAACTTATATCAGGGTAATTAAATTCCTGCATTACGACTACTTCATGCTTCCCTGACATATCTGCAATCTGCCTTTGGAAAGCATATCCACACCCCCTCCTTCCTTTGCTGGTTGATAATGGACTCCAACTGCAGTATTGCTTTATTTCTTCCTCCACTGATTTTAACCCAGCTACTTTCAACAGGTTCATTATGTGCATTCTTCAGGGCATATCGGTACATACCTAAATCGAGTGTTCAGGCACATCCTATTGGTTTCCCATATTCTGAGTATTAGTATAGGGGCATGAAATGATGTTCCAGTGACCTCTTTGCAGTCTTATTAATAGGTTTAACTGGCTGTGCTGTAGTAATTATGGACCTGTCCATGCTTGGCTTCAGCCCCATGCATTTTTGGCATGGGGAGCCTACCTTGGCAGGGTCAGGGAGCTTCCTGAACCATGTTGATAATGAAATAGCATCTTCCACTGCATCTGAGGGTAGCAAGCTAGCTGGCTGAGTGGTGCATAGCTTCCAACAGCTTGGCACCATTCGCTTTACCATTTTGCCTGCCACCTGCTTGTTACCTGTTCGTACAACTGCTGCCGTGCAGCAGGGGTGGTACCAGCACGCATTTTGCAAGCTCAGTGGCACTTGCCAGCATGTCTAGGGTATGCTGGACTTCATGGCCTCTTTGCTTGCTGTCTCAGGGTCCTTCTCAATGACATTGTCAGTGATACGTACACTGGAGAAAGGTAACTAGGAGAGAAAGTCCATGTCACTGCTGCCAGGGTACCAACTCAGAAGGATGGGAATGCCTGGAGGAATGCAGTGCTTAGCCTTAGCATATGATTCCCACTCCAGAGGAATGGCATGGGGCTCTTGCCCCATTACATCTGCTGCCTGAGCCAGCTGCCTCTCTCTCTCCTGCAGGGTCCTGCTACTGGTGTGTCACCCTTTGCAATAATTTAGAGGTCAAAGTTGGCCAAATGGTTGTTATGCAGGGTAATCTATCAAACTGATCATGTCATCAGCCTTGCAACTCTCACTCATGTGTATCATCCTTCTTAATACATTTATGAAAATCACTAGGGAACTAATTGACTTTTTCTTTTTCTTTTACGTGTAGGAGCACTGTGACCACTGTTTCCAAATTAACACATTCTAAAATAGATCCGATTTGGATAAATAGGTACATTTTGAACTTCATTCTAACATTGGCCCTGATCCAGAGAAAGTTAGCTGACTCTGAATCCTGACTAAAACAATGGGGCAACTGAATTGTGAGGAGCTTAATGCACAGTCATATCTCTCTAGGCAGAAATTACCCCCTGGCTGGATTTGGATGATCAGCAGGAAAAGAGGGCATAGTGGCCCATCATCCCTGCTCAAGCACCACCGTGCAATTTGCTTAATTATCCTTAAGGTGCACAGCTTCCTGTGACATCCCAGCTGGGTGAGATGTGCAGGGTGGTGGCTTCAACACCTTCCTGAAATCCATGGCTTGTTGCAGAGTTGCAGTATGCTTCTAAAGCTACCCTTTGCTGCACACCTTTAGTGGGTCTGGACCTCAAAGAGAGCCACATGCTGTGGCTGAGGAAATTCGGCAAACTGCAATGTGTAACTGACACGAAGGGGGGCAGGGAAAAGAAGCCAATGTGGTTTCCCCACCCCCATGATCATGTGAACCTGGCCACTGAGTCAAATAAGGCTTAATCCCAAGGAAGCAGGTATTACAACCTAAACCGCATTGATTTAAAAGTAACCATGTTCCCTTGATTGGAGCCATTATTTAGAAACCCCACTGGTACCCATAAGGCTTCTGTAATGTGTTTACACTGAGGATGTAGCCTGTCATCCAACTGCAGCAAATTATATTAGATCCACAGAAAGGGATGGAACAAATAATTCTCAAACACATTTATCATTCAAAAGGAATTATTTGCTGAAGGTTTTTGGCTGAAGTCAAAATCACCAAACTTGGGGAAAAGTAAAGAAATGATTTTGCATTCTACAATATAGGTTTTGGGCGCATCATGGACCTTTCAATGTATTATAGAAAAAGTGTGTGGGCGGGAGGGTGGCTGGTGCAGCAGGGCCCTGGATGGGGACTGGGGGCATGGTGGGGTGGGGGGGGGAAGAGTTTAGAAATTCTGTTTCTAATGGTCTGATGATTATCTGGAGCAGTCCTTTACCATTTGCAATGTATTCAGTTTCACTTTGAACGTTTGACCCCCACTCCAAATTCATTATATACAAGTAAACTAGCTGAAAATAGTATGACTTCTTACACATTATCTTTACAATGAGGGCATACTGTCTGAGACCTCTCTATTTGAAGCCACTAATCTTCAGGAAAGCCACTAATAATTCTGTGCACATACATACTATAAATAAAATGTTTAACTCTTATGACTATGCCTACTCTAGCCCAAAAGGAAGACTGCTTACTTATTATTCAAAGAAAAGAAAGAAAAAGAAAATGCATCTGCAAAAAAAGAGGACATAAAAGGACAGATTTGCATAAAATCTGCACATACTAATTTATATAGGTAAATGCAGATCTAGAAATAGCTGCTATCAGTTAAAGAGGGCAATAGTGCTTCTTACTACAGCGGGGAAGGCTGTGACCAGGTAATTATGTGCTTGCTCAGTCCGCTGACCATGTCCCTGGGTTCTTCACCTTTAAGCTGGAGCTGGACTGGATAGCCCTTCAGATAGTGCATGCCTTGTACAGTCCTCTGATAGCCCTTCATCTAGACAGACCGAACAGTTGTAACTTTATGAGAATGTACAAGAACATTAGGATGCAAGTTCAGACAGAAATAGGGCCAATTATGGGACTGTGCCTTCAGAGAACTTTAGGTTTTTCCAGACTTCAAGTTTTTTACATGGAAGCTTGACCCATGACAATAAAATATGCTAACTGAAACTGGTTCAAATTTTCTGGACATATGGCCTCCATGAGCTATTTGTCATGTTGATTATTTTTCAGTTCAATATGTTTTCACGTGCCCAGGGAAGGACAAGTAATGCAGAAGAGCATGAATTTAGTTGGACAAAAAGCTTATTAAGTGTTTTTTACTGGGCACCTATGAATGTCAAGTTAGGAAACGCTTAAGTGGGTGAGGTACAAATCAACAGGTATAACTTACACAGGTTTAATCAAGCAATCAGTGAAACATAACTAGACCAGGAAAAAACCTGTTTTTCTAGAAATCAGCATGTGTGCATCCTTCCAGTGTTGCTGACACTAACCAGGCACTACTCCAGAGAAAGCTAATTGGCACTGGACAGATAGCAGCAGCTCAAACAAAGGGCAATTCACACCAGCCCACCCTATCCTCCTCCTCCTCATCTGTGTGATAGCACCCCTTCCCCCTCCTTCAGAGTATCTTCTTTGGTATGCAAGTGGGGAAGATCAGGCCATTGTAACTTTTTACTGCTGTAATGTATTGGAAAGTGAACTGTATTAACTGTAACCCTTTAATGATCGATGTATAAAGGGCCAACTGAGAACTACTCAAGTGCACCATCTGGAACAATTCACTGGCAGCCAGTTATTCTCGAGAATAAATCTTTTAGAAGGTAACCTTGCCCTGTTGTGTATTTTGGGCATACACACACCAGGGCATGGGCCATTTGGTAACATGGGGAATGTTAAGTGAAGAATGCTTAGTCTGAGGCATGTCAGATTATGATAATATGATACTACCATCATCTTTTTTCCCTATGAATACTTAATAGATATCCAGTTGAACATGGAATCGTTACCTCCTGGCCAGACATGGAGAAAATATGGAAACACACTTATGACAATGAACTGAAGTTAAACTCCTGCACAAGACCTGCACTGATAACTGAGGCACCACTCAACCCACTGGCCAATCGTGAGCAAATGACAAGGTTGCTTTTTGAAAAATTTGAGGTTCCAGCCCTTTACGTGGCCATCCAAGCTGTGTTGGCTCTCTACGCTGCAGGCCTCACTACAGGTTGCGTGATGGATTCAGGTGACGGTGTTACCCATACCGTCCCGATCTTTGAGGGTTACTGCTTACCTCACGCAGTTCTCCGTCTTGACCTGGCAGGCCGGGATCTTACAGAATACCTCATGAGGATCCTGAGGGAAAGTGGCATTGCTTTAGTGAGCACAGCTGAGAGGGAAATTGTGCGGATCATCAAGGAGGCCTTGTGCTATGTATGCTTAAACCCTGAAGAAGAGATGGCCAAAAAACCTACTGCAATAGAAAAAACTTGGAAATTACCTGATGGGCAGATCATTAAGATTCACAACCAATTGTTTCGCTGCCCAGAGACTCTCTTTCGTCCATCTAATGTTGGCATGGAGGCCCCAGGAATCGATAAGCTTCTATTCAACACCATCATGAAATGTGACATTGACTTGAGGAGCACTTTGTATGTCAATGTGCTGCTTTCTGGTGGTTCCAGTCTTTTTCCTGGTATGGCTGAACGCTTGACTAAGGAGCTGATCCGCATGGCTCCCAAGGATACTGAAGTGTTAGTCCAGGCGCCTCCGGACAGGAAGATCTCTGTTTGGATGGGAGGATCCATTCTTGCTTCTCTATCTGCCTTCCAGGAGATGTGGATTTCCAGGGAAGAATATGCTGAGGTCGGGCCCAATATAGTACACAGGAAGTGCTTCTAGACTCCTGTTGCACCGAAACATTTTTATTTAAAAAGCTGTGGGGACGAACCTCGAATTCATGGCATCCTCAATGAGTCTTGCAGCCTCACTGCTTTTTGAAAGAAGAATAAACGTAACAATTCCATGTGTACTTGTTTTGATTCCGTCTTTGCAGAAGGTATGTAACATAAGGGCCATTTTACACATGTTTCTTTATGTGTAGAGCACTTGAGTGTAGAAAATCAAAATGTTGCTGACAAGAAAGGCCAGAGAGCGCAGGCACACTGGGGGTGTACAATCAAAAGAACATTTACAATTTATTCAGACATGGAATACCTGCAGCATGTAGGTAGGCCCCAAAGGGACTAGTAAGATGGAGTCCATACAAGATCCTTATTCAACCTATCAGTTACATACACAGTTTGGAGGAGGGGTGGGAGATCACTGTGCTAGAGGCACAACAGGGTAAAACGATAGGGTTGAACTCAATTCAAAACCTTCAGATCTGGCAAGTATTAGCATGTCTAAGATGTGCCCAAAGGAAGACCTTTCAGGACAAGGACATTAGCATTTCTAAGGACACTGTGGGGCACATAAGACTTGTAACATTGCTTCCTGGTCATATCTGGAATTTCATCCAAAGTCTAAAGCTGTTCTTATAGCGTCAAACTTTTAGCAGCTATATTATGGCAAAGCTTTTACTCATTTTGCCCTGACACTGCTTTCACATAGATTCCCAGATTTATTTTCTTTCTCCTTCCATTCAGCACAAGGCTCCTACTTCTGTACCTTTTACCAAGTTGCTCTTAAGAGCCTTGTCCTGAATGGATTGTGACAGATTCAACATCACAAAACAGAAGTGTAATTATGTTATTGATTCTACTAGTATCCTGCCCTTCCTTTGTGGAAAGCAGTATGCATAAGATCTCATTCCTTCTCCACTTTTTTCTCCTTTAAATAGAGATTGGCACAAGTCACCAGGAGAACATTACGATTTTGAGTAGAATTTTGAACCATGGTCTTGTTACCACACTCTACTGGTCCTATTACTTTGCATCACATCAAGCACACTACATCCCAAAAATCATTTTAGACATTCAGCTGCCAATTGTACAATTAATGCAAGTCTGATGCCTGCATGTGATATAGAATCAGATTCAACACCTTGTTCAATGCAGGAATATAGTTTACAGCGTCTCTGACAGATAGTTGTTCAGTCTATGAATACCTCAAGTGCAGTCAGTTAAACACGAATGTCAAGGAACCTGGCAAAACTCTGATGCCTGCCTTGCCAACTAGTGGGTTGCAAGTGTGGGGAACATTTGGTCCTTCAGATATTCTTGGATCACCCCTAAGCAGCATAGTCAATTGTAACAAAAGCATGGGAAGGGTTAACTTAAATTTAAGTGTTTGAGCTGAAACTTCAGCTGGTAAGGATGAGGGAGTTATATGCACTCCCAGACTTATCACTGGGTCCAAGGACACCTAGCTGAGAACTGTTGGCCTTGGACAGGAACCTTGTGAATTGCTAACAGCTGGGGGAGTTGAGATCTCTCCGGATAGATAATTGGCAGGTCGAAAAACTCCCAGCTAGAGAGAATCTTTTGTCTCCTGCTGAGAGGTTTGCTCCCTGACCAAACACTGAAATGTTCATAGCAGGGGGACCTCTTTCGCAAAAATGTAGTTTAGGGTGAGCTTTATTATTTTGCTTCCATGGTGCAACAAGGAATCTGTGTGTTTGGGACCAGAATATTATAATCTGTTAACATCTTATATTCTTGCCTTATGCCCCTTTCTCTTTTTCTGTACCAAGCCCTCTTTGCCCTTCTTAATGCTTTAATAAACTCTCTTCCAACCTGACTTGATGCTTGTGTCGTGGTGCTAATCTGATGTCAGTTGTGGGGGCCAAGTTTGCTCTTTGTTCAAGTGTAGTCTAGTAATGGTGGGACACAGAAGGAGTGTTCTTTAGCCTATTACACAAGTAGTGAAAGATGATGGAACCTCTAGTCCAATAGTCCCACATCATTTTGGAAGGTCACATGTTCTCCATTTCTGCTATAATCCCCCATATCAGAGGCAATATGCATCTGAACACCAACTAGCTGCTGGAGAACATAAGCAGGAAAGTGCTATTGTGGACTTCTCATAAGACACTATGGCCATTATGCCGCCCACCCGCCCCAAATGTTCAGAATGATCCAACACAGCTTTTCTTCTGATAAAGTAAATACAGTGAGAGGGCAGGGACCTTCAGTGTCTGATTTGTGTAACGAGTAGGGATGGCAAAATGATCCGTGGCACAAAAAAGGAATGTGGCAAGTGTGCTCCAAGTTTCATTTGTTGGAACATAGATGGCCTGTGCATTTCTGAACCAACCTGTCATGGATTTGCAAAGTCTGACAAGAAGCAACTCCGAAGAACAGCCTTATCCAGCTCATTGTCTTCCAGATGTTGGAACCACAGTGTCCATCGTTTCCTAATCAGCCATAATTGAGGATGCTGGAGCTGTAGTCACATGTAGTTGGGGCATGTAGTTGGGTATTGAAATCCAATACATCTGGCGACTATCAAGTTGGGGAAGGTTGGCATAGGGAAATGGCCAAGTGAGTTTGGTCATGCCCCATTACAAAAGGAATTTAGGGTAGAAGATAGAAGTGAAATCTTGGTATCATACGCTCACACTCAACTGCATTAAGATCCAGTGTGCTGGTTAAGTGTTGGATTGGGAATCAGTAGATGTGGGTTCTAATACTGATTTGGTCACAAAACTCACTAGATATTAGGCAAACTTACCTCAGAAGTTTGTTGCAGAGAAGACCTGCCTTGGTTCCTTGGGAAAGAAAAAGGAGCAGGATGAAAAATGTAATAATTACCATTAACATCTGGGCCATACCAGTGTGAAGGAGTGAGTTTTACTGCATTACTTAATTTATATCCCACCTTTTTCTTACAAAGAACTCAAAGCAGCTTATATAATTCTCTTTCTCCTGCTCTCAGTCTTATCCCAACAACCACCACCTTGTGAGGTAGGTGGGGCTGAGGGTCTGTGACTGGCCCAAAGTCACCCAGTTAATACATTAATTAGTATTTGAGAAGCTAATTTGACTATCAGCTAATTAGATGATATACATGCATGATAGCTGGAAAAGGCAAACTTCCTAGAGCTCTTTGCCTTGCAATGCTAAAGGGAGGTTGAAGGAGACTTTGGGGCATGTGCGGGGTGCTTTCCAGTTCTTTGTGCAACGTCTCCATTCTCACCCGGACATTAAGAAAAATCCAGCTGCAGCAAGGGGGAAGCTGAGGAGCACGCCAGCACCTTCCGCGATGCCATCACTGATGGGACCCAGTTCTGTCCTCTCCTGAGTCAGTTCGGCCTTTTTTAAAGCATCCTTTTGTGACAAAAAAAGTTTCGCAATAGAAATTAAATAGGCCAACAGCAACATTCTATTACATTTTAGAGCTTTGGCAATGGAGCGGTAGAGAAATGAAATAAATAAGCGCAACCAAATAGGCACAGTAGCTTATCGCGAACAGCTTTTGCGGGCAGCTTTATTCAGCTATTTTTTCACCCTCCTCCGTCATCTTACGTCACTGTGAGTTACGTCACCCCATTTCGTTCGTTTTCTTTCAGCTCCACCAATCAAGTGCGTACAGGTCCAGTAACCAATCAAGCGCAGCGGGGGGGTGGGGCAAGGCGTCCTATTTAAACTCGTTGCTGCAGGTGGCCCACGCCGGGCGGTTTGGAGGTTCCCTGAGTTTTCTAACCCTAAATTAGCCGTCATGGGCATCGCTTTTGTTCGCTGTTTTATTCGTTGACTTTCAGCGAACTCAAACTTGCAAAAAACGTCATCGCTGCAGGGGGGCCTCCTCCGCTTGCCGGCCGCGCCTGACTCTTCTTCCCTCTCCGCCTCGCCTTTCTCGCCCGGCCGCCGCCCTGCCGACGAGGCCGCGGTCAGCCTGGCCCGCGCCGCTGCTGCCGCGAAGGGTTCGGCCCTGTTAGCCTCGGGGCCGGCGGCTGCGCGAGGGGAGAAGCTTCTCTGGGTGGGGCCGCGTCGGCGCGAGAGCAAAATCGGGCGACGCCTCCTGCCCCGAGTGGGTCCCGCGCGCCTCTTGAGTCGTGGGGCGCGCGGCGGACGTCGGCCGGACACGCCGAAGTTGAGGGCGGGCAGGGCAGGGAAGGGCGGCAGGGGGTCGGTGCGTGCGTGGTGGGGAGTAGCGGGAGCGGGCCCGGCCTCCTGGAGGGCCTTACCTCCTGCTGCTCGCTTTGAGCCTATTAGATTTTCTGGAGGTCTAGTACTCCCTTCGCCTAATGCTGGGAACCATTGAGGGCAAAGGAAGAAGGGGACGGCAGAGGATGACGTGGCTGGATGGAGTCGCGTGAGCTTAGGTGGACTCCGGCGGATGGTGGAGGACAGGAAGGCCTGGAGGAGTGTTGTCCATGGGGTCGCGATGGGTCGGACACGAATTCGCGACTAGCAACAATAATGCTACTTTCACCCCTTTCCCATTCATTCCTTCTCACAAGGGGCCTTAGGAGGTAGGCCCAGGTAAAGACCATCCTCTAATGCAGGGCGTTTAATTATCTGGGCCTGCTGGTATTGGACTGAGTCTAACGTATTTTTGTTTTGTTTAGTTTTAAATGTTGCATTCTCGACCTTGTATGTTCTAATTGTATTTTTTTTATAATGTGAACTGCCCAGAGCTTTGGCTGTTGGGTGGTATAGAAATAAACTAATTAGTTTAAGTATTTAAAATAAATAAGAACATAGGGACAGTGTTAATATTATAATAATGCCTCAAAGTTAAAAACTTTGCTTGAGTAATGCAAGTAGAAGTAATATACCCCAACCCAGGTATAGATTAGTTGGATGATTAACTATTGCCATCTACTGGTAAGTTTTAACTTTTGTAGTTGCAAAGGCTGAAGGAGAAATAGAAAGCTGCTTCAGAAAGTAGTTTGTAGTAGAGGTATATCTTGAAGTCCTTGCTCATAATGCAGTCTACAGAAGCTGGTAAAATGT